AAAGGGTGAGGTCTCAAGTCTGTTTTCCATTGTTTCTTACTCTTGATAATACAAGGTTCCTGTTATAACAAGGTAATTTGTAAAGTTAAATGTCAAGGACGTCTTATTCACGAGGTTCAACTGTATTAGCTTGGAGAATTCCAATGTGATAATGCAAAGTGTAATTGGAAATTTGCTTGCTATTCTATTGTGGCATTGAGCTTGTTGTTTCCTCAGATTTAAACAATTCCATGATGAAATATGATGGCAGTGCCCAAATGCTGTATATCATGAAATTCTTTTGACATGTACATAGTAATTCATCGGTTTAGCAATTTGCCCCAGCAAATCTGTCGAGATTCAAGGCTTTTGAGCCTGTTCTGTCTCTTGTGGAATAGCCCTGGTAACTGAATGGGAATTTTTAGAGACAGTTGGCAGTGGCAGTTGGTAACCCTACCAGTCCTATGTAGCCAGTGTACTTTAGTTCTCATCATTTTGAGCATGTACAAATTACATATACCCATACATGTAGCTCATTATTAGTAGATTGACCTGCTAGGACTTTTATGTTCTCCACTTCCCAGCCTCTCAAAAGTCTCCCTCTGAAGTATTAAGGATCTACAGCCCAACTGTGCGTAGAGTATGGACTCCTTTCTTGAGCTGTACATGGAACTGTTTTTACTTTAAATATTCACAAGAGGCTTGTATGTCCGAGGCTCAGGTGCAGTACATCTGTATTGCAAAGATGCTGCAGATTGTACACATTCAGATGAAACAATTCATTCAATTAGTTTATGTGAGAATGTGCACAAATTCTTAATTGGTATGGGACCATACATGTGGCACATATGTACATGCATGAATAGGGTAAAAGGTCTCTGGCTTTTAATGTTTGTCAGCTCTCCTAGAGTATAGCCTCATGTACATGACCATGTACTTCACAGAATAAAATATTTTCTCATATGCACATGTATGCTGTAGTCTGTTCAATGTTTCTTCTCATTCTTGTGAATTTTCACTGATTTTTGTGTTGCTGTTTTTCCTTCATTTTTGTATTTTTTGTCTTTCACGTTAGAAAGATAACACGTTTACGTGTATAAAACTGATTTTTTTAGATGATGTCAGCTGCTTCAATCCAATGTATTTTTTAAATACAAAATATTTTTGCTGGAAAATATATGTGTGTGCATTAAAAACAAAAAGAGCAAAATCTGAGATATTAAAATGATGGACATGAAACATTATATAAGGTGAAACAGCCTCACATCGTACGTGTGATCATCTCAAAGCCCTGTGGTTTAATGCCTATCAGCACATCAATCAATTCTCCATAATTTGGGAAATCTTCAACAAGTTTTGTGTCACGATCATTAAAACTGACTTGGCAGAACCCACACTGCTTAAAACATGCAAAATGAGATCCACAGTGCCGTACTCGTGTACTCACAGGTGCACGCTCGTATCAGTCAAGAGCTCGTCAAGAGTCTCCAGCTGGATCTGGCAAACATGGAAGAGGAGAGGAAACAGATGATCTTGCACCTGCTGGGGCCGATGTTTGTCAAGCAATACATGGAAAGCATGGTGCCCAGGCCGGAGGTATTGGTACGTATTAGTTGCTTTGTGTGTTGAAAAACTGTGGCATGGCCATGGACTGTGTTGCCAAGTAGCAAAGTTCTGTGGAGCTGGCATACCAGGTCATTTTTACAGACTGGAACATCTGTCTTACATGTGTGTACACAATGGAGTTCTGGTCTTTTGTGCATGCCGGTAGCCTCGTGGCAATGGTTGACTTTGAGGAATCGGACTAGCCTGTCTCTCTTTCGTTGATGGGGGTGTATTGATGCATGGAACCCACAGGCTGAGTGCCCAGCTAGTCTTGACAGAAGTATACTTGAATGCAGAGAGCCATTATGTTTTGCTGTTGCCCATAAAATATAAAATTGTATAAATTTTGGGCACACATCCAGGTACATATATGGCTTCCATCATTTCTTTTGTTTATAAGGCTCCATCAGCACTCGGTGTTGAGCGAAAGAAGCAGTTGCAGAGAGCTACCCAGGTACTCCTCAGAGACAAACTCGACCTCGTCATTAGAGAGCTTGGCTATGCACCAATGTCGAGTAATGCTTCCACTCCGGTCACCGACAGACAGCAGGATGGAGATAGGGCAGGGGAGCAGGGAAGGTCAGACATGCAGGCAGTGATTGACCATGCCAGGGGGATCTTGGAGACTGGTCTTAAGAGAGACCTGGTGATACATGAGATGAGACAGAAACAAGAACAGCCAGATCCCAAAGGTGTGTAAATTGTTCTAAAATCGTTGGGTTTGTATGGTGCTTTTGCTGTCTTCCCGTGAACAATCTTTCATAAAAAAATCAGAATTGTTCATTAGAAGGAAGCAGTTCTCATAAATATGGCATATAATTAATCCCTCTAGTAAAGCTTTGAAAATGAGATGTTGCCTGTTGACCTTTCACTTGCTTTGTCATAGTCAAAGTTCTTGCCAGTGTAGCAGTGGTTGGCAAACTGTATGGCTGGCCATCAGAACAAAAGCTGCATGATTGACTGTACTAAATATCTCACAGAGCCTTCAAAGACAATACTGCAACTGCTAACTATTCAATAAAATCCCCCTCTTGACCACTGTCGGGGGCAATCATGCATTTTAAGGCACAACTAATTACCAACCAGCAGTGAATCATCTGGGCCCAATTTCATGGCGCAGCTTACCATAAGCGAAAAATCTGGCTTACTGTAGCAGAAAATTCTATGCTTACGGCGAATGTAAATTTCATGGGTTAGCGAAGAATTTGGGCTTGTGCGCATGCGTACATCCCGCAACATAGGATTCTGTACTTAAAGGGTGAGCGCAGAATTTTTCTACTAGCACGGTTAGCGCAGAATGGAGATTGTAAGGACAGAATTCTGCGGTAAACAGCGCCATGAAATTTGGCCCTGTAGACTTTGGCCACTCATTCAGATGGCTGGGAACATGAGAAAGTATAGAGTTTTGAAGTTAAGGTTCTTTCTGAACCCAGATGTGCCTACATCCGTAAGCAATATTAAGCTCTCCAGCAAAACCAGCGACCATCTGGGAATGTCCCTGATTGCCATTCTCCAGCGAGACCCAACCCGACTTGACAGCGTATGCCGCCGACTGTCCGGGAAGCAGCTTCCCCAGACACTGAGGAGCTACCTGTGGGCAGAGATTCTGCTGCGGATGGCAGAGGATGGTGGGGGCGGTGGAGAAAAGTAAGATGGAGGGTTGCGAAAGTTGGATGGATATCCATTTCACGCGAATGGAGAAAAATTGATTTCAATCAGAACTTGATCCACTGCTTTATTGCAAGCTGTCAAATTGTTTTGATTGGTTACAAGTCTGAAACAATAATCCTTTTGAACTGAAGATCATTTTGACCAAAGATCTTATAGTGCTGCGGCGCAGGATGGGGAACTCTGCCAAAATGGTGAAATCACCATAATCGCCATTTGGGCAAGCAATACGCCTGCGCAGTGGATGTTAATGCACAGGGACACACACACAACAATTGCGATTACAACATTGTACGCGTATTCACGATACAGTTTTCCATCTTGCGCCGCTACACGGAACTATACAATCTTTGGTTTTGACATCTGCGTAAAAGGTTCAACATTATGCTGCCATGATGTACAAAAGCCAGTTCATTTCTTACCCAAAGTCAGGGTATGGCATGAAATTTTCTTAATAAACTTCACCTGCACTTATGATGTGATTTGCTCATTGTACATACACAACATATACTTGCTGTACTTGCTGTATAATAATATATAATTTGAGTTCACATTTGCTTTCAAGCTGAGTGTGAACAAAACTCCATTTTGGGTTACACAGTCAGTCAAAGATGCTTTTACTAATTACCTCATTGTTAAAACCACCCCCACAAGAGGCTTAGAGGAGCAGAATGTGTCTATAACTGTTCTCATTTCACACACACAGGTCCTCAGAAAAAGCAATTCGGAAGAAATTTGCGAAGGCTGTGTCAAAGGGCAAAGTCGACATGAAGATTACCAAGGCAACAGAGTGCCCAATAGGAGGACTCATTGAAACAGCTGTTAAAGAGGTAAATGAAACTAACCGTAATCACATGCATGCACAGAACAAAACAAACTACTGTTGCAAATGTCAAATTAAATTGAATATTAAGCAACAGTCCATGATAAAGCTACCTTTTTGTAGTTTCTTTGGGTTTGCAATTCTTGTACATGTACCAGAGATTTTGTGGAAACCATGGGGATGATGATTGAATCTAGAAGAATATGTAGAAGGTACTGTTTGCCTTTCCAAAGGAGCCGGGTAAGGACACATTATGTTTTGATGGGTTCAAAGTTCCTCACATGGCACGGAAGGCTCTCAACCAGATGTCAGTGTAATGTGCACAATCCATAACATTTGAGCAATTGAGAAACTGCGGAGTATGGGTCGATGCATGGCAACCACAGCACCAGTCTACCACCAGGCATCGGGGAGTACACACTCATGCTCTGACATGCATACCACATACAAACAATATCCAAGGGGGAAATGAACCACTGACTGAAAACAGCAAGTACACAACCTGATCTGGTGATCTTGACTGGTATATTTATTCCTTTACCTTGGGGTACCTTGTAAGGTCTTTGTTCCAAATGGGATTGACAAAATGGCAAAATCCCCTCTCAAGCCCAATATCTGGGGTTCCAACTCATGCTGGTGCGAGGCCAGCTCATTTGTCTCTAGGCACAGCAGGCTGCAGAGCGTAAAACTGACTCAGGATTCAAAGCAATGATGAGGAGTGGAGGAAAAGCGAGATGCAGCGGACACAAGCCTGCGACCAAACAGAGTACAGCGACAGAAGAGCGCAACCGCATGTGAGCCACACGCTATACCCGCGCTAGGTACCAACTCCCTACGCAATTTGTGCACAGCACAATGAGCCTGAGCCCGCATACCAGTTATACATAAACTTTAACAAGTCTTACCAGTACAGATTAACTATTCCGCTACAACATCAATTCTAGTTTGCATTTTAAGAATCCATATGACAGTAGTTGACTGATTTGAAGATTTTGTACCTGAACAAATGAGTGCCCGAAATCCAATTTTTGTGACTATGCATCACCTACAGATATTATCTTAATTTTGAATGTTTATTACTCATTCCATGCACAAGTAGTTTCTTGTATTCGCTTTTCAGGTTTTTTACATATCCAAAATAGATTTTTTTCATCGGAAGATTACATTCATTCTGCCATCAGAGATTTGATGCCACACCGTGCATGCAGGCTCACAGACTGGGCAAGATCCACAGACAGGCCAGGGAGGCCCTGAACGTCCTGTACACGTACAACCGCAGCTACGAACCCTTCCTGATTGACTGGATTTTCCCCCTGCAGCTGGCATTCCACGACCGCCAAATGAAAGGTGAGGAAATTCCTCAAAGCCAAAGATAGAAGATTACACAGTATTACTTTGGTCTTTGACAATGCACAAATGATTTGGAAATGCAGCAAGGAGATGAACCTGAAATTGAGCGGACTGGACATTGACAGGACATTGACCGGGCATTGACGGTGCTCGTGGGAGTGGGGAAGGGGTAGGGTATACAGTGGTCCATGTTCGCATCAGACATTTTCATGTAACTGTGCACAGCAAGCCTGTAGAGTGTTTGCTGGGTGCCGGGACTGCCCAGTGGCAGTAACATCCAAACATAAGCCTTTTATCTTTCCCACTGGTGTGGGTAGTTGGGAGCCAAGTCTTTACCACTACCATTAATAACAGGTTTTTATAAAGCACTTTTAACTAAGACCAAAGCACTTTCCATTTTATTACTGTACATTACTAGTAGGGATTAAAATGAAAAACAAGATGGTGTGTCAGAACTTTGTGGCTTTTGTTTCTGCATTAAAGTTTTTAGACAAAAATGCTAGTTGAAAATGTCTAAGACATGTACAAAAAGCCTCAAACTCAAGTTTGAGTTCTTTTCCTACTGTTTGGAGTTTCTTTTTATACAATTGTTGTGATATACAGTCAAACCTCATTGCTAAGAGGTACTCTGGACTTTGCAGATTACCTTTTCATAACAGGAACTTTTTATAATCCGGAGTGAACAAAATTAGGAACGAAAGACTGGGACCTGAAAGAGTTCTTTGTTATAAGCAGAATGTTGTAGACATATTAACACATATTAACAATTCTTAGGAATGAGGTTCAACTGTATGCCAAAACTCGTATTTTCCTCCTTGCTCATAGCCTTAGTTCATCTGATTTAATTCCTACCGTACCATCCCTACACATGTTCTTTGCAATGACATGAAAATGATATCTAAATTACAGAGAAAATTGATTCAATTATCTGTATGCATTAAACTTGTAAATAAACGTTAATAGTTTGACATTTAATTTTGTAATTGAACATTTCTCTGTAGTGCTACAAATTGTATAGTAGATGTACATGATATCCAGTTTAAACACAAATTTAAACACAAAAGTTGTATTTAATTTGATCACAAATTAAAATCTTTGCTGATTTCTTTTGCAGAGGAACACCCCTATGAGTTGGCTCTTTACCTAGACCTCCTAAATACCTATGCCTTTCCGAAATGGCCGGAGATTTTTGCAGTTGCTGAGCAAGCAATGGCCCGGCTGAAGATGGCTGACAAGGAATTGTATGACCACTTACAGCACTGTGCAATCAGCAATGTGAAAGTCAACCCACAGGTTAATAAAACACAAGATCTGTTTGTCCACTCATACCCTAACATAAAAACTAGAAACATTGTAAGGTCTTTTGAAAACACAGCAATCATTAGAACAATTTCTCACATGTATTTGCCAGGCTCTCAGTTCTTTTCTTCAGTGTTCCTCCTTATCCAAGTTCTGGTTGTTTCGCAGCTTCATTCAAAATACATTCATTTACATCATCAGAACATTCTAACTGGAAAGAATGAATCATTATAAACAAATGGAAAGATAGATAGTAAGAGCTTTACATGAGAAGAAATTGGATACTCTTCCACTGAGAGTTATATTAAATGAATACTTACTTGCTTCATTATTGTGTCCTTCATTCTTTAAAAAAAGTGTATTTTCATGCAAATGTCTTAGTGTTTTGGAAGAGATGGTAGTGCATGGGCCAAAAGACAAGTTTAAAAATGTCTTTTGTCTGCCAGGATTTTTTGGTGCATCTCATACATGCAGAGAAGAGAAAAGCCGCTGCTTTAAGTTGGAGCGTCGGCACCGAGGAATCCAACGATCCCTCTGCCGACTCGGCAACAAAGGAGTTGTTGGCAAGCCCCATCATATTCCTACGCAAGTGGGTTGGCGAGGTAAAGTAAATGTTTTTTATTTTTTGGAAAACCAGCCTCTTTTGATAAGTATTACATTGTAATCACTAGTAGTGGGAATGTAACATAATTTGGTTTCTTGTTATTAGAACAGTAACCTGATTAAAAAAAAAGCATGTGAAAACTTGTCCGATTGCTAAATACTAACCATATCAAAAACCTTCGCATATATGATTCACCATTCCCTTTTGGCTGGTTTTTATTTTTAAAGTTTCCATCAAAAATCTTTTCAGCAATTTCTTTTTCATTGTCCAAGAAGTTACAACATAATTTACGTAGTTATTAGTATCCAGTGTCATAATTTGGAACCAGTTAACACCAATGGCCACATACCTGGTTCCGATGCATACCAGTGATTATCATTGTTTCTTATCACAGGGTTTTGTGTGTGTCCTGAACTGCTCAGCCATGATGTACATATGGGACCAGTGCTTTGTGGAACGTTGGGACAGGCAAGTTCTGGAAGATGCTTGCCTGGCCCTCTTGCTCTTACTCAAAGAGAAATTTATGGATGCCGTAGACTACCACCAGATGAGACAGGTAAACTTTGACCCCTGTTTATACCTTGAGAGCAATGATGTATCCAAGTTGCACCCCAAAAGACTGTTGACTTAAAAAGAAATTATTAACTGAGCAGTGTAGAAACTGTACTACAGTCTTTCTTTTTGGCATGTGAAGATTATTATTTTTTAAATTCAATTTGCCCCCATCACCGACCTAGTCCTGGATCCACCACTGCGTGAAATAAGTCTTCTTTTAGGTTTTGATTACAATTTTATAACTTTCCTTTCATGAATCATAGATTTATCTCAGATGCACTGCTCAAGTTTAAGGAGCTCAAGCTATTTTAACTTTGATTTTTTACTGATTGGTGGTAGAGAAGCAGTCTTGAATCAGAATGTTATCACTTTGTAATATTATCACTGCTTTAATACATGTATATAATTATTGGAAACCAAATTTTTTTTCAGGTATTTCTGAATGAACCATCACAGATTTTGACTCTCGACCTGGTAAGATCCTACCAGCATACCCGAGGGATCCAACCACTTGATTCTGTGCCAGATGATCTCAACAGCAGGAACTCTGTGTAAGTATTCTAATTTTTGGATGAAAATTTACTGTCATCAAGATTTGTTCCACTTTGTTTTGTTTTTTCTTTAGATTTTAGTGACAAGGGCAGTGGAAATTAAGTTAGGTTAAAACTTGATTTTCCCATGAACCTACATATCCATGAGGAATCTCCAGTGTTTTGATGTGACTATTTACAATGTTATCAGCTGTATAAGCAGATTTGTAATCAAGACCATCACAAAGCCAGACCCAAGACATGGCTGCCTTATAGATCCCTCAATGAGGCTTGGTGGGGTCTCAACTACAACACTGGGTGTACATGTGTAAAGTGGCTTGAAGTATGTTCGGGGAAAAGATGCTTTCTCTGTTCGTTGCAAGGGTACAGCTATGCTTCCCAGTGGTACTCTTTAACCTTGCTGGTAGATTTTGACAGACTCAACTGCAGCTATGACCAGGTCCCCATTAGGTGTCATGGTAATATCACGTAAATTGCCATAACCCTTGACAGTGCATCCAAGGTACCTGCCGTCAGGTCCATAATGGAGAATCTCACCAAGCGAGGGCCAGTCACCACACACAGCAACAAAGATACTGCCCTGATTGTCACAACACACTCCCATTGGGCCCCAGTCAGGCATGTCGTTGTCAATGTGCACTGAACATGCCATACCGCCACTGTAGTCCAGTGCCAGCAGCTTTTTCTTCCCCCAGTTTGTGTAGATGAGACTTTGCTTGCTGATGGTCAGATAGGAGCTGATCATCGGAGCAAAGAGCTTCTTGACAATCCCTCCTCTGGAGTTGTGCAGATATATCAACTCTTTGTCTGCGTAGCCCACTGCTATCTGGTTCCTGTCATCCACTGCCAGGCATGTTGGCTGGCTGTCTGACCCTCCACCTAGTGTGAACTGATGAAGGAGCTGATACTTCCGGTTGAAGATCTTGACCTTGGGGCTGTCAAGGACAACAATCTGGTCCTGGGTGTTGACTGCGATGTGCCTGGGATCAGCAAGACCTTCAATCTGCAGTCTTTTGAAGTGGACGTAGAATTCAGAGTGGCTGGCGGGAGAAGGCATGCAGGTCACCAGCTGTTTGTGATTAATGTCCGCCACGAGGATTTCATTGTCGGAGAATGCAGCGACATACCAGGCAGCGGTGAACTCGGAACGATCTGGTTCAAAAGTCCACAGCTCTCTCTTCAATTTCCACTGGTCTGTCTGTCTATCCTGTGATTCCTTGCTGCTTGGTGCCTTCACTTTCAAGTCTACCTCTTCATGCACCAATCTTCCGAGTGACCCAGCTTCCTCTTTGAATTCAACAACGGACAGACGGTCAGGCGTTTTCTCCGGCTGCCTCAATGTCAGTGCTTCTATGTTGTCCAAGACTTTCTGCTGGAGGTTCAGAATCTCGCAGTAACTAGCTTGCACTATAATTTGGTTCACCTGTTTCAGCTTGTTCCCTGCCTGGATCACCTCTTTGTTGTATGCAGCCTTAGTTGATTTGAACATCTGGCATTGGTCAGAGTAGATGCCTTTCAGCCTCTCTATCATTTTCTCCTCCTCTTCTCTGATCCGAGCAACCTCTTTGTTAGCCTTTTTGGTGATCTGCCTCTTGGCATTGGAACACATGACGCATAGATGCAGCAAGGATTTGGTCATTTCATCTGCAGCCCTGGCAAAGACCACGCGGTGCTTTTCGGCCGCACCTGCAAGTTCCGCAAGGTTTCGTCTGCATTTGGCTGAGGCCTCTGACAGTGTTTCCACAGAGTGGCTGTGATCTCTGTGATCAACCTCAGCGCAAAGCCCACACAGAAGCTGCTTGCACATGGCGCAGTAGACGTCTGCTCGTTGGTCTGGGTGCTTGGCACAGTAAGGAACATACTCCCTGAGTTTGCTCTTGTAGGCAACCTCTCCTGAATGGAGCTGAGCCAGCGAGTAGATGTTATGAGGTGCGGCAGCCATCTGATCATGTGCTCCCCGGCATTCCTGACACAGACACTTATCACAGTCCATGCACCTCCACATGGCCGGACTTTTCTTTTCACAGGTTTGGCATCTGATCTCTGACCCTTGATGCCCATGTAGCCATTCCTTCACTGTGCCTTCCTCCACCAGGGCACTTAACGTCAAATGATCAGGCAGGTCAGCAGGCTCTTCCACCTTGGTTTGGCTACCGCAAACAGGGCATGTTAGAATTGGACTTTCTGAATCTCGACCCACCGGCAGCTTTTGGAGGCATTCAAGGCAAACACTGTGCAAGCAGTCAAGAATTTTTGGCTCTTTGAAGTTCTTTGCGCAAATGGGGCAGTCCAGTAGAACCTCATTTGTCATATTACTAGAATCTTGCCAAGCTGCCATCTTAATAATCAGTAAAGAGACAGCAAAAATCTGTGAAATTAAAAAGAAATTGTTTTTCATCACCTGAAGCTCCATAATAAAAAGGTTGAGGCACATCACTGAGCCCATTTTTAACACTTTGAGTTTCACTGATATGTTATACGTGCATTCTTGATGCCCTTCATAGAATATGTTACTGGATAATACAAATTCCTTTGCGATTACATTGCACACAGGGTACATGTGGTGTCATTACAGGTTTAGACCTGAGTGTGCAATCTTTGGTAATAAACAATCACAGCGAACTCGAGTTTCAGGGTACCCCAACTGGGCCAAGGTCATGGAGCGGTTACGTTTGCAAAATGGATTTGGGCTGTTGAAAGCCATGGTAATCCACAGGCATACTAGCCTTTCATAGAATCTACCTGACTTGACCCCGACTGGAACAACATGCAACAAGTTTTCTGAACAACAGTATACATGTATGTGTACCGCAGTGTCAACCATTTTGCATCGTTCCACGAATCTGCCTTGTTTTGCATAATGTTTGTGGGATAGGGCTGAACTGGTCAGTTACTTTGTCCAGACCCTGCTTGACAAATTGACTTAGATACTGACTTTTGACCAAAGATCATATAGCACCGAAGGAGCAAGATGGATAACTCTGCCCAAAAGGTGTAATTACCACGGGCGCCATTTGAGCAAGTGATACGCCTGCGCCGTTTACAGTAATGCTTGGGCGCAGGCTCACCAGGTGCACGTGGCTGCCGCGGCGCCTGCTGCGGCGCCTGCGCCTGTGCATTAATGTACATTGCGCAGGCGTATCGCTTGCTCAAATAGCGCCCATGCAATTACAACGTTTTACGTGTATTCACGGTGAAGTTAGCCATCTTGCGCCGCTTTGCAGCACTATATGATCTTTGCTTTTGACAGACTCGATTCCAACTCTGGAACTGAAATGCACACGTATGCCAGGCAATACATTTCAGTGACAGGAACATGTACAAGTGACAGTGAACAAGTAATGAATGTTTCTTGTTCATGCTTTGGGTAATGCCATTCAGTGAAAGATAATATTTCCCACTGGGATTTCCTCTTGGAATGGAGCACTCCACCTGTCACTTCATGAAATTATTCTTACCATTGTACTTTTCATTATTTGTTACTAATAAAATATGAGCAGATTGGCAGAGGTGTTACTGTATGCTACAAATTGTACAGACTATGAAGATTAATGAAGATTAACACATTCTTGGATGTTGGTGAAGCTGTTTTCACATAATAGAGTGCCTACTTACCTGCAATTTTGAGAACTGTTTTGCAAAATTCAAAGTCTGCCTGTAAAGAAGTACATGTACATCTAATTGGAATCTGACTTCCACACACAAGTGGCATTACATTCTTTCAGTGGAGTGTTGTAGAATTCTGCAGGTGAATGTCAAACGTTATGGCGACGTACACTTCAAACTTGATTAATCCGTGGCTTATAGGCCTACTGCAGGCCACATTGTGCTGTCTCATTCTGCATGATTTCCAGTTGTTACATGTGGTGCAAGCAATGGACGCTGTGGTGTACATGAGATAATGGGCCATTGATAAATGACTCCAAAGTCCAGGGCTTTGAAATACATCTGTACCGTACGTGGCAGTGATGTTGCTATGTATGAATACCACTTGACCTAGATTTGTTGATATTGCAGTCGGAAATGAGTATGAAAAGATTGACACCCTGAATGAAATCATTTGTTCCCAAGCTTGGCTGTCATAAATTCTTCATGTCATATGTTAATGACTCATTTCTGACAGCGTGTCTCTATGCCCTCCCCCCTCCTTTTCCACACAAACTTAACCGAACATGTAAATAACAAAATCATTCTTTTCAGAATTATCACAAGGGGCATTCTTTTCCTTCCAGGAAAATCTTTTTAAGTTTTAAAAATAGGACTGGTCTCACTCAGAGCTTGACTACCAATTGACATAACCCTATAGTGACCTTTTCAGTTGTGGCATTGTGTAATGTAATGCATAGAGTGCGTTGCATATACAGTATATAGGTGTGTGTGTTCCTCGTGAGAAGGTGTGATATTCTACATTGTAGATCTTTTGTCTCTCCAACTGAAAAAATTAATTTCCTGTTAAGAATATCTGCCATATATATGTACACAGTGACTCCACAAAACTGCTTTACAGTGTGATCCACTGTCATCCAATCTCATTGTATGGATTTTGATATGTTGAAAAAGAAATCATATATTTCTCTTGATATCATTTAAATTTTAATTTGTGGTGTTTTGCTTGATCACTTCACGCTGGAATTATTTCACTGTGGATTGGCCCTTTTTCTGAAAAGTGCAAAGATATTTGAAAAAGATAAGATGTATTGGCTGAATTTTAAAATAAAGTTAAAAAACCTATTACTCCTGAGTTTTTTGGTACAGTATTTCTCCCTGCAACTTCATCCATGGGGCCTAATCTTGGTGCAGTATTTGCTACATTGACAGCTCACCTAGAGTTGTCAAGCTCAGTACAAGTCATTATACCCCCACACACCTGAGACATTGTGTGTATCTGCAAAACCACTACTGGAAGCTCGAGTATCAGCAAAAGATTTACGGTTGACCCATTACCTGCCCCCACAAATGTACACATGCCCTGTGAGTCATGCATCTCCATGAAATATTGTCAGGAAAACTATCACTGTGGGTTTATTTTGTCCATTGGTGGCAATTGGTGTAATGAATAAAACCAAGGTTAAATTTTGTGCAACCTTTTGAATCATCAACTTTAAAAATGAAATTAGTTGAATTTTTCCAACCAAGTGAAAATTTTTTAATGGATAACTGATGAGTGAAGTCTCTTTTGTCCATGCAGGAAACCACAGGAGTCTGTTGTCACTTCACCACAAGCCACCCCTGAGCCATCAGCCGTAGGTGACACTGTCCCCAGTACACCCCGTACACCCCAGGAAGTGGAGCCGCAACCGGAGACGGTGCGGCTCCGCAGAGCCGGCCTGAGCAATGTCAGGCTGAAGCTGATGTGGAACCTCACCAAGAGCCAGGTGGTTATTGAATGAGACATCTCAACTTTCAAAATACTTTGGAAGTTCAACTGTGGGACTTGTCTGTTTCATCTGGGGACACGTTGGCCCAATGTCATGGGGCTTTTTAAATAGCCACTCCAGGCAAAAAGAATTTTTTCTGAAGAAAACAGTCCAACTTTTGAATATGTTAAAATTCCTCACCATCTGCCACTGGATCACTGGATATGCCACAGATTTTAATTCAAGTTTATTTACCCGTTGTTTCTCATTGGTTTTCTGTATCAGCTCGCCGACTTTCAGACAGAGAAGCTTCTCATCTCCATAATGGTATCCATCGGGGATAAGACCCTGAAAGTCAAAGATATCAAAGATCTTGTGGCCATCTCCTCTTTTGCCAAAGGGGATGAGAGCCAAGCTAAAGTGAAGTCTCTCGAGAGCACTGCTCAAGAAAGCACCAAGGTATTCTAGTTAAATCTTTTGTTTCTGTTCTTTTTCTAAAATTTATTTTTTTGACCTAATATAAATGGTTTATTGCCAAAAAGGGTTGTGATTTTCTGAATTAGGAACTGTTTGATATGAAATGATATTTATGATAAATAGTAATGTTATATAAAAAATTATAATGGTGTAACTACAGTACTTACACTGTATGTTATGAATATAAATACTGAATTACTATAAATTACAAATTGAAAAGTCATTGCACTGGATGCTTGAGCTTTTAACCATAAATAGTATAATATTGTTAACCAGGTCAGAAAAAAAGGAGGAGAAACTTTTTTGCAGTAATAAAAAAAATGACTCAAAACTGACTCAAACTTTTGACTCTCAAATTTACTTTATTGATATTGTCTCAGATGAGCTGGGTGTGTAATCCTCTGTCGATATTTCCATTTACTCATGGTAGTTTGTCATAATTACCTGGGGGGGCACAACGGAAAGTACAGTTGCTGGACTTACTTTTGTTTCAAATGAAGGCTTAATCATGGACTTCAGGTCAAACTTGAAACCTTCCGAGTGTAGGGGTCTCATTCCAGGTTGGTTTCAGTATCCCCTTTGTATAACACTTGCATGAACCTGAAAAAGTTGGTCACATTTTGCAAAATGGTTGTTATTTGTTTGCAAGCATTATTACTAATTGCAGTATATAGAACTGATTTCTTTAATTAATCTGTGAAACAACCAGTAATCGGTGAAACTTAATTGTGTTCCAGGTCAAATATCAGCTGTCTGTTCCTGTGCCTCAGATCCTATTTTCAGAGGAGGAAGTTGACCTGTTAAAATACAGCAAGGAATTGGACCCACAAGTTGTGCTGACAATTCAGTATAGAGCCACATCTGATGAAGGAGGTAGTGTGTTGAGATGACTCTTTCCTGGCAAAGTTTTCCAGAAGTCTGCTAAGTGTTCTCTGTTTTCAATGTCTAAAAACTGATTTCTAGAAAAACTGTATTGTCTGTCCTACCATGTGTAATTTGTTGAAAAGGATAGCACTCTAATCTCAGGAAAGATGTCTGTGTAAAGCAAAACAAGAAGAAAAAAATTACTTGTAATAGGGAAACTCTTTATATGACAGATAGAAAAAATTCAGGCCTTTTTTGATAAGGGTGTAATAGGACCAGCCAATTTGATGTATGGCCATATCATATGAAGACTTTATTTCTTCACAGGTGATGGTCAGGAAGACAGCAAAACGTCGGTCGGTTGGGCCTTGATTCCTGTCTATGAAAAGACAGCTACCCCCTCCACCCTTGATGGAAATCAAGATGGTACAGACCGTCTGATATCCACATGGACACCCTGCAAAAGTGATCGGACTGTGCCACTGTATTTTGGGGATGTCCCTCAAGATGTGGCAGCTGAAGGGGCAATGAAGGAGTTTGCTGAGGAAGGTTGGAAAACTGTCTCAACTTTTTTCAGCTATCACACCAATTTTTCCCACCTGATGTTGTTTGATGCTGTCAAGTGAAACCATACGGGGCAACTGACTAGGTCTTGCATGATGAAGTGCATTTTTTGCCATCAGCCAATCACACATGATTTTTTCTTACATAGCCGGCAATCAACTGGTACCATGTTATCGCTAAATTCCTCCATTGAGAGTGAGTGTGCACATGGTCAAGTGGTTTATGGCAGAAGCAGGATCTGAACCAATAACATTCTGAAAACCATGCTGATGTTGTTCCAAATGACCCTATCCAGCACTTGGTGGTTCAGGGTCAGGTGCTAGTTAGAAGCCAAAGGGACCATCGATAGGTCACAAACTTGGGTTTAACAACCCCTTTATCCTTAGAATCATTATGCATGAATTTTTGTCTCTGAAATTATAAAAACAGCTAAGATTAATGACCCTCTGTAAAATCCCAAAGTTTCTTGAGGAGTTGGAATTGAAAATACCTGTGTGGCAAATCTGTGTTGTATTTTATAGACCTTCTGCAGGAGGGATCAGAGGTCAGCCTGACTGTTTTTGATCCTGTAGACTCGGTGTGGATCATGCATGATCCCTCTGAGGCAGTGCAGACTGACAGGGAGGTCCCACCTGAGCAAGGCTTTGATCTTTACATCGATGGCATTCGGTTCCTGCCGGATAACGCAACAATTTGCAAGGTCAGGAGAACCAACCGTTTGGACTATGCACATCTTCATGTCATAGAAAGTGAATCTTGCATATAACCCTGTTGTCCCAGTCAACCAGGGTTAGTTAAGCCTGTGCATAACCAACACCAACAGCATGCACAGAAATGTCAAGGCGCGGACAATTGCAGAATTGATCTGAAACTCTCAAAACATTCAGGTGTAATCCTCTTTGGGTGTTGATACTCCCTCCTGAGTGAAGCCAAACTGGTACTCCAGCTCATGACATTTATTGGCAGCTCTTTCTTGTCAATTTGGGTGTCATATTTTTAGTACTAAGAAAAATTAATGCAAAGTCAATGCATGGTATTAAATAAGAGGAGCACTGTTGTGCGCCCATAACACCAGCATGCATAGATGAACAGTCACACAATAGCGATTCGATACAGACAAGCAGCAAAATTGAACCTGATCCTACTTTCCCGTCTGTCTACTTCCTTGTTTGCGTTAGATGGAATGAAGTGCTTCCATGTAATTATATGTCAGGCAACTTGATCAGCTATGCTCTCTGTGTCTCTTTACCTCATATCATCGATATGGAAGCTGCAGCTTTACACATCAAGCACTTTGGGAGAAACTATCAGTGTCATGGTCAGTCATATCCAAAGAAACTTGAAATTTGCTGAGTCAATGTGTGTCGGAAGCACTCCTTACAACCTTTCTCTCACAATGCATCAAAAATTGTTGGTAACCTCTCGCAAGCACAACATGCTATTAATCGCCATTACATTGGTTAGGGCTCTTTGTTTCATAATAGGTCACAGGCCGTGTAGCTCTGCCCACCAGCGAGCATCGCCCAGATGTACTGGCCTTGCCTCTCCTGGACTCGGCTGCTCGCTGCCCCAAATTCGAGTACCGTTACACCTTGCCTCTTGCCCAGGCAGGCAATCTGGTTCTCCTGAGGGTGTACACAGTCGACAAATTTACGAGGTCGGTGGTGGTAGTAGGAGCATTGCCTTTACAACTTTACGTTGGAGAATCTACCAAGAAGGTAGGACACAGAAAAAATAGCACTTGAACCCACAAATTTTTAATATTTAAAATTTTTAAAAATCTTTAAAATCACCACTCAAAAGTTGTAATATTAACCTCTCCAAACTTTCATAAAAATGTTTTGCACAATGTATAGGTTATCAGGTTATAATTCCAAATCAAATGACGGTTATTTCGAGATATCGTATGGTGCAAATTATTTTTTCCATTAAACAATAAAAGTAGGAAAGTCCCAAGTCCATGCTTTTTACTTGAAATGGTTCTGAACTAATCCACATGAATCCAACTTAGTAACAGTCGTACCACAAAACCACCCTTATTGCATCTTACGAATTAATTAGCCAATTTGGGTACAAAGCTTGATTTATTGTTTTCCCAGTTTGTCTGTTATTCGTTCCATCAAAATGACACAATTCAAGTTGGGCAATCTGTTTAAGTCTGAAAATGATATGGACTGAATTATTGCACTTTCTGAAATTTATTTAGCAAAAAATCACTCATTTTGAACATATTGGTTTCTCAATTTTTGTTTTTTTTTGTCCTAGCTGAATGTAGGTGCTTTCCAGCTACGCTTGCATGCTGGCATGCTGCAAATGAACGAGCTAACAGTTGAGTCTTTCGCTAAACTCCCCATCATTCCAGCCTGTTCACTTCTCGTCCGTCTTCTGCCGAGATCAGAGGTAAATTTGCAGCTTGAATTCAAAATATTTTCAGTGGCAGTAAGGTTGTAACAGCAAACAGTATGTTTCAGTCCCCCCACACTTTCAAATTAGTTCCGCTACTTCTGAGCTCCAGTTGCCAAGGATAATTAACACATGATATTTTGAACCAGAGTGTGACATTTTACTGACAAGCAAACAAAATTAGGGGAGGGTCACGCCCCCACAACCTTTCCCTGTGTAGGGTCCACAAAAATCATCAATCACTGATTAAGCCTGGTCGTAGAAGCAGCATTGCGTTTACTGACAGGCATGTGGCGTATTGATCAACAGGAGTTCATTCCGGCACCAGACTATGCCAGCAGCTGTTACAGCTCGGAAACCTGCAAGCCTTCATCCTCTGAGCAAAGGGTCATGGGTCACTACAAGAACAGCTCGGCTTGGTCTGATACTGTCCGTGATGTCCTACAGAGACTAAGAGATGTGGAGAAATCCACTGAAGGTATTGGTTTGTAGCATGTTTTAGGTTTGTTCATCAATCAATATTTTCATATGTTGATGAAAGAACAGACAAAACATATCCAGGGATTTGGCTACTTTCTTTCAGACCTGACTGATGAGGAGGTGACAGCATGGTCATTGGACAGGCTGGACTTCAAGAAACACTCCGACCCAGACACACCCTTCAAGCCAGAACTTATGGATCTAGTGCGCTGTGTTGACTATGACGAGGAGCAGGGATTGTATGTGTCGGTGCTGTCTGCCAAGGCTGTCAAAGGTTTGATGAGGAAAAACTTGGTCTGCTCATTTGTGTAATTTGACACTCCAATGCTAAAAAGAGCTTAATTCAAAGAAGCAGAGCACACCTCTTACTCTCTTCATTGATTTGAATTTGGTGACAAAATATTGAAAAGTGTAGAAGTCGGTGCTACCTGGAAAATAACGTACATCTTTAATTATCGGGAAATTTGCTGGCTATGTTCTCAACAATTCTCTTTTAGTGCAGAACTGTGAATTGATTTATGTGATGAAATAACAATGTTCTTTGCCCCTTGTCTTTCAGGTGATGGGAAGTATACCAATATCAGTGTATATGTCCTACCAGGCAGTGATGTGGCTTCGAAGGGAGAGCTTCACCCGTCAGACAGTGAACATTTCCTGGTGCAGGATGCCAAGTCATCCAGTCAACAGACTTCTCCGGTCTTTAAGGATCAACCGAAGGTTGGTCTTATAAAGATCAGGATCAGGCATTGCGTTTTCCGGGAGAGAGAGTCATAGGTTAATTTTCTTTGAAAATGAGTTGCATGTCTCCAGAGCCACTTTTTACTTAAAGGCTTTCAAAAGAATCGTGCACAGTGTTTATTAAGCAATAGGAATCCTTAACATTTTCATCATACCAAACTGAGTGGCACATCAAAACAGAGAGTTCAGTTTCTTCCATCTAATACAAAGTAAAACTCAAAAGTGGCTCCAGTGACTTGAGACTCATTTTTATAGAGAGGGTCACATATAGTTTTTTAGATGGGGCATTTGTTTGACATTTGGACTCGTATGTTTAAAAATTCTGACACTTTCAGTGAGTTCAAAAGTTTTTGTCAGTTTCCCAATTTGACTTCGGTAAGACGGAAATGCATTATAAAATTTCAAGAGTGTTTGGGAACCTAATACCAAGGAGTTTTAGGGCATTGAAAGCATATTACATGTGCACCAGACTGTAATTAAAGGCCAATTAAAGCAAAGCATGGAATTGAGATTCTGTGCAAGAAGAATGTTTAGGTTTTCGTACCTCTGTGGGCACCTTTTTTGTAATTTTGTATTGAACCACTTAGAGGAAATACACATTTCATTATATGTTTGTTTTCATTTAGAACACGTTTGTTTTGGTGAACTTAAAACCATTTTGGGGGCAAATATACTTGAAATCTGCACTCAGGCAAATTAAGGCATGGCGGTATACTGTACCCTGCTACTTGGGATGAGCTTCCACACATTGGTGTCACAAGTGGGGGGCGGAGAAAAGAAAAGGCAAAAGAAATGAAAAAAAAAGGAGGAAAGTGGGTGAAAATCATCAATATGCTTGAAAATAACCCACTATTAATAGTTTGTCAGTTCACTTTGCTGTTGCTAATAGTGCTTTGCCCCCCCCCCAAAAAGAATCTTTGTGACTTCCAAGCTTCGAGGTTCTACATTAGTTCACGGCCTTCCCCAGCGGTGCAGCTCCAAACAGTGTGAATTCCAATTATTCAAACTGATTCTAATGGTGTTTCCAGAAACTTCACCCGAGCTACAGCCCAAGGTCCCTTCTTCTGCTGCGAGTAATTGGCCTGTCTGTCACCTACAAGCCTGACCCGGCCAACCAGGGTCCCGGACAGATGTTCAGCAAGGACGGTACACAGCCAGTCTCTTTAGAGTCCGACTCCAGGTTGGGTTGGAGCTTGCTGCCATTGTTTGATAACGGCTGTGTGGCTCAGGGTACCTACCTTCTACCGGTTTTTCAGGACAGTGACAAGTTTGTAAGTAAGAATTTACTTGTTTTGTGGATTTAGCAGGAATGGCAAAGTTCTCAGTTTGGTTTTGTTTTTGTTTAACTTTGTTAATAATCAGTGAAGTTTCAGGTCAGATGAGCTGTTGAAATGAACTTGATAAAGGTCTTTCACATGTGTCAAAACTTATGGCATACATGATGAGTGCTATAATTAGCCTTGATGAATGTGCCAAGTAATTTCCTGTAAGTCAAACCTAAGGCCACTGATAGATCAATCAAAAGTCATTTCTTTACCACGAAAAGCACTACATTTTAATGGCAAGGACTGACTGTCCATGATTACGTCAGCATGGTAGTAGGAATGGTCTTTTACTGTGGTAAACTTTTTTGGCCATTCATTCCAGTCATTCCTGAAGGAGCTGTCGGACACCCCAGACTTTTATGGCTGGATTGTCAGTGCACTACAGAAGGGAACCATCATGCTGGATACCAACTATGCTAGCATAGTTGTCACATTGTGGGACGGACATTTTGACAAGGGCGAGACCATTCCTCTACGTGTAAGAACACCCCTAAAACAGGAGAAGCATAGTTTTATAACTTTTCTTAAGTGAAAGTTGGTTCACGTGCCCTGAACAGTACACACACCGAAGGTCACACACACACACCAGATGGAAGTTAATGGAGTTAAACCAAGGGTGTATTTTTGTAAAGTACATTGGATGTGTTTCTTAGGACTTACCAGTGGTGTTGTCAAGGATTCCAATTTGCAAAGTGAATAGCAACTATCAAAAGCCATGGCCATACACATTTCTGGACTTTCTTCCCGCAGAACTTTCTTGACTCTGGGCCAAATTGCCACTACGAGCAAAAATTATCCTGAGCTACTTACAGTGGTGTCCATTTCCATTTGTCTCAATTGGATTCTACTTTCCCATATATTTGCACTGTATTTGGGGATACTTCCAAGTTATTGGCTCATGTGGATGCGTTATTGATCATGTTATTGAAGCATATATTACAATGTACAGCATAGCTGCTCTGCAAAAGTAAAAGTTCCATTCCACTGGTAAATGGCAGATCCTTGGCACAGTCACACTTAATTTTTGAACTCGTAGGTGATGCAGGGATTTGTTCTGGCTTTGATGAAAGTTTCCCAAGTCGTGGAAAGGAAAGAATAATTTGCTTTGGATGGCAGCTAGAAAGTTTTATTCCACTCATCTTCACTTCATGAAATTAAAGGAAAGAATAATTTGCTTTGGATGGCAGCTAGAAAGTTTTATTCCACTCATCTTCACTTCATGAAATTAAACATTCCATTTGCCACCTCATGAATTTTGTGACTTCGGAGACCTGGTGACATAGGGGGTCACATTCGAACAGCATTTGATGTGCATTTGTTTGCCCATTTTTTTCCAATGCAGACAGAGGATAAGTTCCTCAACGTGGATGATTTCCAGAAGTTTGCAGCTGCCGCAGAGGGGGTCAGAGGTCAACCAGTGTCTGACCTGATTCTGCAGAGCCTACCTCCGGAGGCCAAGGAAGAGGGAGTCCTCAGCGAGATATACTGGCGAGAAGAGGAACGTTTCCAGGATGTGATGAGGACGACTTTCAAAGATGTCATTGTAAGCAATGATAGCTTTTTCAGATGGATCAGTGAAATGGCTGGGTTTAACCACATTGCATTACTTTATAAGTGGGGATTTTCTGTGTTGTAACTTATGGGGGATGTTTAAACACATTCTGATGAATTCTGCATGCACTGGGTAACATCCAAGCCTGTCCCCGTGCTTGAGACTTTGATCTTGCTTGGTGTCCGCTCCGAGCGGAACAAAAGAGGGCGTTTTCTTGGTACTCACCACATAATGGCGCGTTTGACGTCGAGTACACTGAGTACGCGTAAAGAATTTATTCCTTAATGTATGGTCTTTTGCGTACATGCAGAATGCATGCAAGAATCTGGTTGTAACTAGCTGTCTGTCGCCGGTTGTGGGTGCACTTCAGCTCAGAGCGGATAGCTGACAAGGGATTATGGTTGCGCTCTCTCGTCATTTGACAGATTTGATATTTCACTGAATAGTTTTCATATTTTGCACATTCTAGTTTGGGAACACATTATGGAAAGCATATTCCACTTTTTGATAAATCACTCAGTTTTAAATGTTTCATACCTACAAGACATACCAACACGGAGTCACATACATTCATAATAAGTCGTCAGTACAGCCAGCTATTAACCACTTTGTGCTGGGTGGAGTTTGGACATGTAGGATGCATTGCCAGGCGATTTTTCATGATTTTCTGTTTTCAAAACTCTTCAAAAATTCATACCTTCATTAAGCGGATGTTTACACCGACACAAATGACTGTTTGGTGGCCACTCTAATCTGACAGGCAACCTCCCTTGATGCCTGAGTATGGCAGCCAGGCCTGCTGCCCTGTAAAGAGAGCCCACTTTGTGCAGTGTTTCGTAATTTCCTTTGTTACTGAAATTGGCCCAGTGTGTTGCTTAATGGCGGTGGTGTCTTTACAAATGCGCCAAAGTAGTGTGCAGTGGTATTGTATCACTCATCGCTGGAGTGCTGGAGGGCTTTTATCCCCGCTGATAATCAACGGGCGCTGAATGCTACAAACAATGATATACTGTTTCAAAACAATGATGGATTACCTCCGCTAATGCCAGCACTTTGTGCCGACAGCATATGATAATTGATTGGCAATTCCCAGCAGTTTGATCTTTGGCTCCAAGTTGGGTCTTTTGTTATAAGGCCCAGTTCCTTTGTTCAGTTTTCGGGCACCCTGGCCATGCATATAGACCTTTTTCACCCACAGAACTAAATGTGAACAATGCCACCACTTGGGGACCGCCTTGGCCACGGTGATTGCATTATATTCCTACGGGCAGCTTCAACCACGTACAAGCACATGTGCGAACGCTGCATGCTTGACTAGTTTATCTTTAATAAGTAGATTACCATCACAGCGCTATGCATTCATTACCATTACAACACATCAGAGGTCAGGCACGATCGTAACATCACAGGAAAAAGGTCTACATGTATACGGCCAATGTCTCTGGTACCAGGCTCCCCGGCATGAAGTGGTTCAGAGTTTTTTTGCAAGGCCGCTTTAGGTTGTCAGTCCTTGTTTCATTCTTGCAGGACAAAATGAAGCTGACAGAAGATAAGGAACCAGACAACTCGTGAGTGCATTCAGGCCAGAGAGCTTCAGGAATTGGTTAAATATTCTCAGCCAAGTGTAGGTACTCAAATGTAGGGATGTACACACATGTAAATACTCTATGTGAAAACTTGCTGGAAAATTTCTATTATTTTTGAATTTTTATTTTTTTCACTATGAAATTGATGTGAAGTTAATTTAATCAAAGCAAAAGTGGAAAGTATGGATGGGACAGAAACAATGGTTAACCACAGTTTGCCTGCCTGTATCCAACTCATACTTGGCACAAGTCGTTGGACTAGTTGAGAATTCATAAACCAGCCCTACTTGGTTGGTTGCCTACACTATCGCATTGTTGAATGTGGATTTGGGAATCAGTTCCTTGCTGATATCATTTGACTGTTGCTCCTCAGCAGGCTTTCACACTTAACTTCACAGTCAAGCAATTGTGCATTCCTTTGTCACTCTGAATGTTTTGTTTATAGTCGTTTCCAAGGGGTGGCAGTTGGAACTGCTGTCCCATTGCTTGAACAAACCAATAAAATTTTCTAATTTATCAAGCTTTACCTTGATTTTTGAAAATGATAAAATTATCAAGCTTGTAAATATTCCAGTGTCTATATTCAACCAAGTGTATATCTTGTTTTGATGGAATCTTTCTTTAAACATGAGAAATTCAGTAGTTTTTAAGAGTGCAAGGGTTCATGGAGTATGTTTCTTCAAATTTTGAATTGTGAGTAAAGCCATCTGTTTCACTCAAACCATTCTTTTTTGCACACATTAAAGAGAAAAACACAAGCGTTAAAACTACATGATGTTGAAAACATTTATTTCTTCAAAGTTGCCATTTACATAAAATTCCTAAAATACTTTCAGTTAGTTAGGGCAAAATATGTTGTACTGATTTTTTTCCTTTACTGTGTAAACAGGAATGAGCCAAAGACTCGGATGTTGACCATTCCAACTGGTCCTGATTTTTACAAATGTGTAAAAGAGCAATTTCTTCAGGATTTTCATCGATATATCTGAAAGATTTTTCGACTAACAAAAGCCAGCTTTGAAAAATTAGGACTTTGAAGAAAGCAATTCCCCCTTTAGCCCATACACATTAAATTTTCAAGGATAAATATTACTAAAAAATTAGTTCACCCTAAATGAAAAGATCTTTTAAAGGGCTGTGTGCTCTATATACAAAGCTTTGAATCTTTAATCCAACCCCAACTGATCTTTGGTAAGAAGGGGCTTTGGTGTTAAATAATTTCAAAGAAAAATCAAAGAAAAGGTGTTATAATTCTATCAACACTGTCATGGGGTTCAACATAATTATGTAAAAACAAACAAATTCATGCCACATTGTGGTCGGAATAAACGAATACATGTACACAGAAAACATGGTATTGAAATTATGATTCCAAGGCATGAATAATTAGGCAGCCATATTTGGTAATCTGAATCCACATCCAGAGATATGCCTAAAGCTTCTTGAATCTCTCTTGATGGACTTTCCTCTAAGACTAACATGTCATGCGTCATCATTCTTCAACAATGCCAAGAGCATTGTTGGACTCTGCCCAGGAAGCGCAAATGGTGCCATTTTGTGGGATACACCATATATATAGCATATGGCTCACACTGCTAACTCCGTCTGAATGTGTACAAAAAGTCGCTGTATCAAAGCACTGGCACCTAGCACACAATAACAGTGCCTTTCGTGTGTCTCTTGGGCACCACCAAGGATCCCTGTGCACCAAGTCCACACAACTGGCAACTGGTCTGGACAGAATGAGACCTTATCTTGGCTTAAACCACTTATTTTGCAAGATTTGGAAACACTTCCAAAATTAATTTAACACGTCCATGCACATGTACGTGATGTACCTGTACACAAGTAACAAAATATTACAGTATTGTATACTTTCCTAGGAAAAACCTACCAAAAAACTACATGAACTTTATGTACAACAGAATGGCAAGTTTGGAAGTTCCAGCTTTTTAGCGCCTACACAGATATCCTACATTTAACATTGCAAAAACCTAAACTACGAAACTATTTCAACTGATATGTACTACACTGTAAGTTAAGAGCCGCACGTTCGACGGGCAAGTTCTGAAAACCCACTGTGTTGCGAGGGGTTGCTTGATTAACACTTTTCAACAACTGATTCTGATCTTTCTTTTGTCGATTCAATCCCAGGGCCATCAAACCATTAAAAGATACAACGGCTTTCGGGTAAACACCTTTAACATCTTTGCCCCTCAACTTCAACAAAATCTACAGTGAGACATGTATTTGAACTTAAGGATTTCAGTATCAAAGATGTAGTTAAGTAATGTAATGCAAAGGTATAGGCAAGGTACATGCACATGTAACCCTCGGTGATCATGTCTGAATGCCGCGTAACTCCAAACTTTTACCAGAAGAGGACATTGACTGTTTTCAACTGAAGAAAAACGGGTGTTACATACATCTTATGAACCACTCTACATAAGCAAAGGTGGGGTGGAACAAAGCCCTTTTAAGGAAGTCTAAGATGTGATGCTTTCTTAACCCTGCGCAAGATCAATGCATGATGTTTAATTAATAAGGAATTAATGGCAAATAGCACTTTTTTTCAGCGAACTGCAATTGAAATCTCACATTGCTGAATAACTGAATATACACTGCAGAGAAAAACAAATCACAGTTCATCAGCTGTTGTTGCTATCTGAATGCACACAACACATTTAAAGGAAAACAATTCAATTGCAATCAGTTACTCTGACAAAAAATTCTCAGGATGTAATCTGCATCTTTACAAGAGCCAAGTACATTGTATGTACAGAAGTTTACCACGGCGTGCACTTGGCGCAAGATACTTATGTGGAGAATGCCAATGGCCTATACATGTGAGCATGGTCATCAGAATAAAACAGATGAAATAATAACTATGGTCAGCCCATGGGCAACTCAATGACCAGCCTTTGTCGGTCAATTCTTACTTGTGCTCTATCCCTTTTTACTCCTACATTCCGATGCAATGAAACAAAACTGGCACAGGGCTACATGCAGGTGGACCTACGTCCAATGACATCTGAAATGCTCCTTCAAATCCCCCTCCGAGCAACCAGCGAAGACCTCCAAAGTGCAGTGGCCCTCTTTCTAGTACCTGCGAAGGCCCAGGCTCCGCTGGAAAGAGAGGCCGTCCCCTCTGGTTGCTTGCTGGAGGAAGAGAACATTGATTTCAGTTAGCCCAGCTTCCAAGGCACTTAGGGGCTTCATCTCTCCGAGTCTTCTTTCACCAGCCCCGAATACTCCCAAATCCTCTTCTCCAGAGGAGCCCAATGGCACATTCTTTGTACCGTACATTTTAATACTTCATAAAATCTGGGTAGATCTTTTTAGAGGATTGGGTAGGGTTGGGTTAATGCTCAGATAACAACAGAGAACTAGACATCAGCATATGTCAGCAAAAACAGGAGGTGGAAATGGAACCCCAAAAGGCAGTAGAAAAAAAGTCAGAGCCCATTTACAATGTACCTATACATGTACAAAGACAGGTGGTAACGGGGGTTTGCATGGTAAAATACTGAACACAGTGGCTTTCTATTGCAATGAAGTGGACAAATCACAAGGTAGGGCAAAAAACTTCTGCACTTTCAAAATTTTGCGAAGGCACTGTACTGAGACTGCATGAGCTGTCCTTGAGTATAATCTCAGACCAGCCGTGAGAATGTTGAGTGAGAGTGGGTGTGCCCTATTTTGAATTGTTTCTTTTGTTTGTTTTTTTGGTAGGGAAAGTTAATCCGTCGTTATTGCTCATTCATAATAGGCCCTAAGAACTAGCAAATTGGGCTGTGACTGAGAACACACTGAGAGTGACAAGGTAGCAACAAAGGCTGCTAATTACCCAAAATAAGGGGTCACTGCTTTGACCTTGCTGGCACTGAATACCTGAAACACCTGCTGTACTGTTTGTTTGAATGGCAACAGAATAAACCAACTTAGCTTACCTTGTTTATCTGTCGATGTCTGTCTCGGCTAACAATTTCTTCAATTATTTCTCCGTCACCTCGCACAAGCCTGAAAGGAAAAATGAATGAAAAGAGTACGAAATCCAGAGAAGTCCATATTCCAATAAGAAATCTATTTATGATCATCCTTCAGATGTTCTGCAATGGTCAGATTTCAGAAAACGACTTCCAGTTCCCTATTGGAGTCTTACATTGGACAAGCCGACATTGAACATGGAAAAATGTACCAATATGTTGCCGAGTCCACAGTTTATGATGAGTGTAAAAGGTATAAAGGTTGCCACTATCAACACAGACGTTAACAATGGATGACAAATGACCATCTGGAGGACGTTTCGGACTGTCTCCAGAGCAGTCTTCACTTCAGGTCTACGATGATCTACAACCGTCACAGCTGTGCTCCAACAAAGAGGCCTTCTTCGTTTGTCTGCTGTGCTATTTGCAAACACCTACATGTACATACATGTAAAGCAAATGCTCCTGCATAAAAATCTAGCAGATGAGGAATGTTTCTTTGATTGCGGAGGTTTACTAGGCTGGCCACCAACCAAGGTAAGTTTGTAACTGACCTGTGTCGTCCAGTGTCTTCATCATACACACGGCGTGTTCTGCTCTGTTGGCGTTCATATTCTTGCTTGGTCATTGGAGCCATGGATCGCGACGGAGGAGGCTCATTCACTCCTAAAGACAAAAACAAAAATCCTTTTCAGCATCTGGTGGAACATTTTGCCATAGAGCAGGGAGACAGACTGAAAAAAATGTTTATTCTCTTGGGCACTGCCTTGATGTTCATGCCGAATGAGAAGCCTGTTCAGTGAAGTAAGATCCCCTAGTCAACTTATCCCAAGGCCTGACAGACTTAAGATGTCGGCCATCACAGGATGGAACAATGATATGCATGTATATGTCAGGTAAGGTTTTCTCAGGAGTTTCATAGCAAACAAACCCCTTTTAAACCCTTTCCAACTCAAAAGTTCCATCAGCAGTAGAACAATGGTCGACGTTCTTACCTGATGCCAAATTGAGAAGTTTGGCCTGGATGCTAGAGATCTGAGGGCCTACTGGCTTACTATCTCTCTCCTCTTTCCTTCCTTTTTCCCTCCTGTCACCTTTGCTTCGTGCACTACTCTTTTCCCGACGTTCCTTCTCTTTCTTCCTTGCTTTCCTCTTCTCTGCCCTCTCCTTCCGTCTCTGTTTCTTCTCCTTCTGCCTTTGCCTTGCCTTTTCCTTTTCAGCATCTCTTCGCTTTTTCTTCTTTCGCTTCTTGACCGAGTTGGCTGATTTCATCCTCGGAGGTGAGGGCTGGGGGTGATTCCTCTTGGAAATGACGTGATCAGCATGTGAACTCTCTCGCCTTCGACTGTCGCCCTCGTCAATTTGAATGTCATATCTGGTGGGATGCTGGCTGCAACTTTCTGTCCGCTGGTCACGATTGCCGCGTCGCTCTGGAGTGGTGGCCCGAGATTCCGCCCGTTTGGATGTCCTCTGTTCGGGTTCGGGGAGTGGCTCCCACTCCCAGCAGCCCCGCTCATTGCTGAAGTACTCTCGCCCAAGCCCAGTGTGGGCAGCCTCCTGCCTCTCCCATTCCCTCCGTCGCTCTTGCTCTTTGCTACTGGACCCAGTCGTGCTATGGGATCGAGAGGCCTTCTCTGAGGCCCTCAACTCTTCCCGATCTCCCCTGGTCCTCGACACTTCCCATCCCTCCCTTTCTCTCCTGCAATCCCTCTCTCTGCTGGAACCCGATTTGCTTCTGGATTGCGAGTGCTCCTCTCTTCCTAGAAGTCTGGATGAATCAATTGGCATCCTGCCACCTCTGTAATCCTCATCCCTTCGTTTGGAAAGAGATCTCTCATGTAAAGGCTCCTCCCTCAAAGACTCGCGCACCCGCTCACTGGGCCTCCTATCTCTTTCACTGTACCTTTCCTCGTGGTTATTCCTTGGTCTGGAACCAGACTGGCTATGTTGATCCCTCCGGTGATCCTGCTCCACTCTAGGCCGTCCCTGCTCGCTCCGTCTCGTGTATCGATTCTCCTCCTGTGCCTCCTCATGTCGCCGAGACCTTGATTCAACATGATGAGTTTCTCTGTGATTTGATTTCTTTGTGTCATCAGAGCGCTGCATGTGTTTCTCTTCTTGTCGCCTCCTCCCCTGCCCATCTTCTGGACTCCATGCCTCCCTCCTGTAATTCCCATCCCGATGATGCTGCCCTCTGCCGTCCTCCGCACCATGGCGGTTCGAGTTGTCCCCCCGACTGTTATGCTGCTGCCTAGATCGTTGCACCTGTCGCCTCGCAGATGGAACTGTTCTTTGCTGTTTTGTGGGAGTATCAACATCCTCTGAGTCACTAGAACTTGAGGAGCTGGATGACTCACTACTGCTGTTCCTGCTGCTGCTTGACTCGGACGGAAGCCTGGGCCTCTTCTTTGGTCCCTTTCCGTCTCTCTGCCTTCCATCGGTCTTCAAGTAGGCCTTTGGGATTTTGGGTTCGGGCTCAGATTCAGACTCACTGCGACTGCTCAGAGAGACGGGGAAAGGCCTCTTACGATAAATCCTCTCCTTTTCCCGGTCGACGAGAGTCTGGACCTGCTGGCTGTCATTCTCAAAGCGGGCATAGGCCTTGGGGACTTGGGCACTGGAGGAGCCAGACGCTGAGGAGCTATAGCTGGAGCTGGTGGAACTGTCATCGGACTGGCTGCTGGAATTGGAACTGTGACGTTTGCGGCTGCTCATGGCCACTCATCAGTTGCCTGGACATCAGAAAGAAGTTGACCACCAAGACGCCTCATTAGAGTTGACCTCTGCAGCAATTAAACATACAGGTAAATGATTTTTGGGTGACATTACAATTATCAATGACAAATTTACTGCATAGCCATAAAAAAAAAACAAAATTAACACGGGTGCTAATCGTGGTAAAACAAATACTAACAACCACACATCAGCTGCATGTTTTGTGGGATTCTTATTACTCATCCTAGGAATTCCTACATCTTAAAATAAAAGCTATCTCCACTGATGTGCTTTTCTAAATCACAATGTTGGTACTGATGTTCGTTATTTGTTTGATTGCAAAAAAGAAAAGAAAATGGAGTTCACATTTTTACTCAAATCTTAGACCGGGTGTACGTTGTGTGAAAATACATGCCACAAGAAAAAAATACTTCACACAAAATGGCTGGTGCCTAGGCCTAAAAATGTGTACACAGCAAAAGCTGTGAGCTTGTTAAACAACCATGTTTAAAAGTAACTAGAAGTTTTGACTAGAGTTGTGGTTTGTGAGTGACTTTCATGGTCAGAATTAAGAAGAAGACGGGCTCGGACAGATTATAAAGTCGCAGCGCCCTCTCGCTTTAAGCGTCGGCACAACTCAAAACACTTCCCATCAAATCATTCAACATTAACGTTGTAGGCCTAGGCCTAACATCATTCATTTTCCCTTTCGTATTTCCCCCCCACTTTTTCCACTTACGCCTTATAATGGGATCCCACTCAAGTACGAAGATACGATTCGTAGTGATCGTTTCAGTCTAGATACCTGGGCTTAAAATACCTGGAAATTGACAATTTTGGGATGATGTCTAAAATCACACACGAACAGTTATCCCAGCATTTGGCAAAATAATTACGTCGGTGTGGTGCTTTATGCCATGGACCGCAGACCGGAACAAATACTGTTGCTTACATACTGGGTGTTCCAGGACTCTAGACATAACTGCTCGATGGCTGAACTTATTTCAAAAGAGGGCGCTATTACTTAAAAAAAAACCTGCCTTAGCCCAGCCATATGTCAGGCCTGTCGCGTCGTCTGCCAGGCATGCCATGCCTGTGGATGACCGAACCTGCAAAAGCTGCACGGACAAAGAGGGTAAAACAACTTGTACATTTTATGTGTAAGAAATTTTAGATTAGAATTTGAGGTTGGTAGTTGAAAAGTCGGGTAGGGGTCTAAGCGTAGCTGTTCCCTGTTCCAATCCTGTGAATTTGGGGGCCCTGTTCCTAAGTAGGCCTCTAAGAGAGACCTACATTTTAAATTTTGGATTCCCTAGGAAAATGATTGTGACATCATGCTCAATAATAATTGTATGGTTAATATTGTGAAAAGAGGGCAGGGTTTTGAGTTTTGAGGGAAATTGTGAGGGGAAACCGGGGGTGATGGTGGAGTCAAATTTGCTGGTTTATCGGTAGGAAAGTCACATTTTCTCACAATTTACAATTTGAAATTACCAAAAACAGGGTCAGTGTAGTTCAGACAGTGTTGCCTTTATTTTGGGGGGAAGAGTTTTGCACAGCTTGAAATATCCAAAACTTGGGATCCCCAAATTCACAGTCCCCTGAAACTGTGACTGTGTGTTCAATTTTTCATTAACTACATGTATGTAAAACCCTTTTAATTTTATTATGCATTCTTGACAAAGTTGTCCAATCAGTCAAAATCAGTCAAATGATCCTTATGTGTCCTTGTACTGTGCCAAATCAAGTGGAAGGAATTTTTGACTGTCTGTGACTGTAACAGCAAAAGGAGGTTTAAGCGTGCTAAGTCAACTAAGTTAGGCCTTGTCAAATTACCATCGCTGGTCATTTTTGACCCGTAAACACTAAAATAGGGCCCTTCATATACTTCCCCATCAGCTATTTGTCTTTTTGACACATGCATAGCTATGGAGGATTTTTTAAAATATAATGAAAGTAAAGTCCAAGTTCTCCTTTTTGATCGACCGAATTGTTCATCAAAATGTGTGATCAACGGATGTTGCTGATCCCTCGATTAACATTGCACCTTGACTTTTAATCCGTTTCTGTGGGTGTAGATTCTCAAGACTCCACTCGGGAAGAGTCACCCATATGTACACTAATTGCCTGCATGAGTGTGTGAGACCTCTACAGAATCACGGCACAATTAGCAAAATTATTGAATGATATTTTGACTAATTATGGTCCGAATCAAAAACAGGTGAGTGAATGAGCCAGTTTGTTTCCAAATGAGTTCCAGGAGTGTTACTTTCAGCAGTAGATGTTATTATTTTTATACCGTTACCTGTCTCCAAAAGTAATACTAGTAGTAATTTGTAGAACTGCAAACAGTAGTCAGGGTATGACACCTAAAGGTTTAAGACTGTTTTATGTGCTGCAAATTTTTTCTCATCTGCAATACTGGTGCTTAGGAGGTCGGTTATTGAAAATTTAAGGCAAGAGCCAAAAAGCAAGACCTTATCTTTTGAAAGTTGTGCTTGTTGTGCTCACTCGGGGTTAAAACTGAATTTTGGTTCATTACATGTATCCTTATTTACTTCAAGAAGCAAGTTACATGTTTGTTAGTTGACAACTCAAATAATCTTACGAAGCCGATTTCCATGGCTTAGGTATTTCCTGTGCGAGTTGGTCTTTGAGGATGCGGTTAGACGAGCACTGATGGTCGGCGTGCAGCATCTGTACAGTGCCGTCAAAGATGCTGTCAAGGAAGTCCACGGGGACTATGGTGCTGCTGCCCTAGCCTGGGGATTAAACGGTATCCACATTTTGTATGAAATTGTTGGTTACAATCGGTTGATCTGCACGATTAGTGAATGACACTTTCCTTCCCCTCATTGAACAGTCTTCTATGTCTGTGAATAAGAGAGAATACATGTTAACTAGTTGGGGATATTCCAACAAATCGTGCAAAAAGATTGAGTGATTGCTCAACGATCGACCCATCCCACGTTAAGACGTCTGCATTAGTAAGCAGGAGGTCGCGGGTTCGAGTCCCACCCGAGTAAGCTTAAACAAATCGCTCCCATCAGAATCGTCTCAAGGGAACAAGAGCAGGGCTGCACTCCTCAAGCAATAATGTGTCCTATCACCCTTTGCCAGATAGCCATGCCCACTTGGCACACGCGCCTCACGTGTACTCGTACATGCACACTCTCCAAGCATTTGCTGCACGTACATATATGCCTGTTAAGTTGTCTCACATTTCTGTAATAACTTTTCTTTCCTTGTACGTGATGCATGGACTGCCCGAGCATGTGCATGTCTGCAGCTGAACTTTTTTGTTTATCCAAGGTTTGGACTATCACGTGATATTCAATAGATGCTGTGATTGGATGAATGGCTTGTGAAATGCGATAGGTTAATCAAGTCCATGTCCAAAGTACTTGACTAACGGCTGGAAGTCACACAAGCACCTATGGTAACCGCTAGCTAATGCCTTTAAGCATTTCCCTACAGATGTACATGTTATTTCTAGAGGTACGTGTATTCATCATATAGTGGGCGTGGTTGGTCAGTCTGTAATCACTGCATTGCTTAATTTTATAGTACATGTATGATGTGTCGATAATTTCACCTCCGTGATGGCATCTTCTCTCTCATTCTCAGTTGTGAAAAATTGTTCAAAAAGGGTGAGTTAGAGATTTCATACAGGCTTGACTTGTGGAACATTGCGATCGTGGGTTCATGCTGATCAACCAATTGCACCCAAGATGTTTTTCACTCGAGCCATGCATGTAGCTGTTGTGCCGTTGTGTAGGACTATTAAGTTAGATTTACTAAAGCACCTGTCGCCAGCTCCCGAAATGAGGTCACATTTTACCAATGCAAATCCAACCACCATACACAATGTACTGGCACCTTGTCAACGGGATCCTGTTAAGACCACATGCAATTTCATTCGAATAGGGTCCAACAGTCGATCCTTCATAATCTGCCAGAGCTTTATTGAGGACTTTGAAGGGATGAGGAACTTTGAGCCCAGTCACTATCACTCTTTATTGGGCTTGATGCCCATGAAAGTTGCAAGTACAGAAAAGGGACCAATGTTAGGGAAACCTTCTCTGTGCAAACCCTGTGGAACAAAAGTGCTGGCCTACAAGATGGTAGCCATGCAAGCACTAAATTTTCTGCACTGCGGCTGATTTTGGGGATTCAGTGACTGGGTCTTGACAAGAATCCGGCTATTGAAAGAGAGAAAATCCCTGCGAGACGATGAAGTCGAAAACCTTTTAAGCTTTTCTTGTGCTTTGTCGTAGTGAAGTACCTGAACCCTCACACCGGTGTCATGCTGATTCGAGTCAGGCGTCAGAACCAGAAGATTCTCAGTACGACGTTACCATTTATCAAATCAGTGGCCGGCTACCCTGTGACCGTACGAACATTACACATATCAGGTAAAGACACTGGTTGGTCCAATGGGGTCTCCACTTCACCACCATTCCCCATGCCTCCTCTGGGGTTGTGTGTGACTTTGAAAATTCAGACTACAAGAAAAAAGGAATTCAGCCACCAGTGAAGTCACTGGTCCCCTTGCTAACATGTGTGGCAGTGTTTTACAAGGAAAAAATCCAAGGCTGCATGTAGTTGACCAAAACTGACAGTGGCTTCGGATGACAGACTTTTATTCCTTCGCCTAGGCACCATCCGATGCTGCCAGAAATTCCTGATTAAATACAACAGGCGGCAGCTAGTGGTCCTACTGAAGCAATGCAAGACGAAAGGTGAGGAGTTTTTATGTTAGGTACAAAAGTATTTGTCGTGAAGATAGCCAAAAATACTGTTCATGCTTACTTTCTGTCCAATAACCAGGAGTGAGATTTACCCAGATTTTCCTCATTTCAGGATCTTTCTGTAATAATTTCGCTGACATCAGGATTGTTCAAACGATCTCTTTAAAAATCTGGAAAATCCCGAGTACCAGTAATATGTTTGTTTTAATGTGTAAAAGCTTACAGAGAGCACAAGAAATCGGCATTTATTGGGTGCCTTTAGGCAAACACAACTGTATACCAGAGACCCTTCAATGCTTTGGCAGTCCTCAAAACCGATGGTGAATATTTTGTGGAAAATTCAGATTTTTCCAATTTCATCCCCATATAACTGGTCACCTGAAGTTTAAGAAATAACTACATTGTAGCATCAGGTTAATTCATAATAAATACACAAGAGGTGATAGAATCAATTTCATGATTTTAACAAATGTAGTTCCATTTGATGCTCGCTAGTATCTTAACAAATGCACCTTGCTCCTAAATTCATGTAATGTATAAATGAGTTTCCCGTGCTTCACCTCACTTTCCATCGCTCACATTAGTGGTGTGAATTCCGTACATTTTTCTGTTGTTTGTATCAGTGGTTCGACATTCCTTAACACAAAACTCCAGAAATAAATGATTGTCCGAATCCTATCTCACACCTGCTGTAAACAGGTCCTACTTGAGCCATGTCCAACTCTGGACTTTTTTCCTCTTCCTCAAAGAGGTCTCAGTCATGAGTGCATTCTTTTAACCGTCTTGCCCTTCCTGTTGCAGAAGAGAGACAGCAGGTCAAGGATTCAATCCGCCGATGCACCCTGAAGCCAGAGGAACAGGAGTTTGGGGATGGTGCCTCATCAGAGGACATAGCAACCCAATCGTGAGGCCGGCCAATGCTGACTGTGAACCTTACATTGTGCCAGTGTGCATCGGTCAGGACACCCACACCAGTGTCAGACAAGGCATCGTGTTGCCTCTGGCCCATCAGCTGCTGTGTTCCTCAATGATTTGTGGGCGCAAGATGTGTCCTCCACCGACCCCAATGAGTTGGCCACACTGCATGGAACATCTCCCGTCCCAAAGACTAAACCCTGTGGCAGGTTCGGTATTGGAGCAAGTGTCCAAGATGAAAAAAGGCAGAACTTCAACCAGTACAGTATGTATATTTATAAATAGCTCCCATTTATCTTCACTTTTTATTTCATTGCAACACCTCTTCACAGAGGCAGTGGTTTTCCAAGGCAGATGGCAGATTCTCATTGTAGAGCCAATGATTTTCCATTTCAAAAATGGGTATTTTCTGTTTTGCCAAATCCCGAATTATGCTTCAGAAATTCAAATTTTGTTTCATAATAGTAAGCACGAAATAGTCGAGCAAGTTTTAAACTATGCATGGTAACTATCTGCCCAACCATACTCCCCCAAAGAAAAAAGGAAGGAAAAGAAACAAATATTGTTTGAAAATACTCTGCAAAGTTTCCAATTTTTAAAAACAATTATATGTTGTGAAAATTTTAAAAAATCCACACAAATACGGAATCCCCCTTGATTTTTCATCAGCACGACCGTTAAAACTTGCTACGATTAATCGACAATTCATGTGTTACTCCTGAGCCCTTTGTATAAAATCAGATTACATTTAAATACATGTAAATATACAGTGAAGTCATAGAGTACGTCGTGCATGCAACAAGCATTGATCGCAATGTGTTAATGCTGGACATCAACCCGCTATTTTATTTGGCAGTGGTGCGACAAAATTCAGAAAGTTAACATTAAACCTGAGCCGGAAAACGTGTTTGTGACTGAAAACTTTACTCTTCACTGAACACTTCCAACGGCCCATTCAGCCATGGTACACCTAGCTTACTAGGTTTCGTCTAATTCAAGAAATATGTAATTAGTCTTCCGTTTCGCTGCCGCAGTTTCATCATTTCGCCATGTGGTACTGGCCTTGTTTCAAGGCATCAATGTGGATTCACAGACTGAATTCCAATGTGTGTGCCATACCGTGCCACTGCGCTGTGCTGTGCTGGCTGCCGCGGCACGCTTGGGCTCACATAAGCCATAGTGCTTGCAGCTATCAGTACAGGCACGGGAGGACCCACTCATGTGGTGGAGTGGTGCAATTCAGCATGTTTCCAGCATAATTCATTCATTTTAAAAGGTTTTGGTTGGCATTTGTTTGTAGCACTTTGCGGACAGTTTTCTTCACTGTTTAAGCCATTCTTAGTGGGAAATTTTGCGAGTTGTGTTTCAAGCAGTGGATTCTGTTTCAAAGTGTTGATTCTGCGAATTCCGTCCGTTTTCCACGATCGCAGAAAATCATTGGCTCTATCATTGTGTGACCGCTTCATTCTTTGCCTGCTCACTTAAAATGAAAGTTGATGAACTTGGAAAAAGTTTTGAACCTTTTTCTGAAATCATTGGACTCAGGTAGAGACACTCTTTGGTGTGGTTTTTAAAATGGTTGAGATATCCACGACTTGTAATCAAATGCTTTTGTAGTATTTTTTACAATGCTATTAAATGGATAGTTTTTTGAAACAGAAAAAGGCAGATCACATTTTTACAGAAAGAAAGGGCAAAAGTTGTCACAACCACCTCCACAGTCATTATCAGTTGGAATTTTGTTGAATTTGCCACACTGACACACTCTGTATAAAGAGAGAATAGTGCCAACTTCAGACTTGGGAACCAAAATGGCTGTTCATTATGTATGTGGTACAGCAGGTACATGTATCTATTGTGTACATATTATCCATGTGCACTGAGGTATAATCCACCATTTTGGTTCCAGCAAGGGAGACGCTCTTGTCCCAGCTCTCTCTGTAAACAGCTCCGAGCACAGAGGCCCATTTAAAACACAGGGGCTTTACAGTACAATGTTGAAAAACAAGGCACAGCATTCTGGCAAACTAGGGTGGTTGGGGCATTAATTAAACAAATGCTAATAAGAGACTCTCTTCTGGTCAGTTCTTCCCTTGGAGCTACTCCTGTGCACTAATAGGTGGATTTTATCCTCCCTCTTTTCCAACACAGCATGCCAGTCCAACAAATGATTCAACAAGCTCCACATTAATACCTATTGAAACTCAACAGGCATTTTTAGCCAAGATCCTGCCAGCTGAACCCTTCCATAAAACCACAAAACCAAATGATTAGTTTTCACATTACTTGCATTATTCATACTTGCATTATTCATTACATATGTAAAACGATCCTGGCCAACTTCCCATTACACAAAAATTAAATACCAACATAAATGGAACTATTACTGTACAGGTTATGACATCGACTGAGTGATTCAGCAATTACTTCACCTCAAGATCCTGCCGTTTCAAAGAATGTAAAATGGACGTGCATCGGTAGTCAAATGTTGTAATTTTTCAGCCATCATGGGGTGCGTACATGCAAACCACTCCATACCGTACATGTGGCGTGTTTGCCCCCAAGGGGACCTCACTGGCACACAACATGGTGTCTTGTTCACTCACCAAGTCCACGACGCAGTTCCCAAGTGTGACGTTGTTATGTGAACCATGCCTACTTACATAGTGTGGCACTGAAACCACTGGAACCAACAGTAGCACTAAGGTGGCGTATTATCAATCGCACTACAGATCATGCATATGTATGAAGCTGTCATTTATGAACTGGGTAGCAATCTACTTGGCATGCATGCTAAATGAAGCATTTCAGAGGAATGGTGGTCAACATTCTCAGCCTGCTCTGGCCGGATGATAACACTCTTCCACAAAGATTTATGCCCACCAGCAAACAAAATTTCAATTAAGCTGGTTCACATCCAGGACCCCTGAACTGCCACTCTGGGGTCCTTAATCCCAAGCGTAAATGGCCAGTTTGCTGCAGCCAGCATATGTTCATGTACAGTGCTCAGATCCATCAGATCACTCGTCGCCCAAACGTAGTTTACTTGTTGTGGCACCCTGTCTTCGGTTTTCTGGTTGCATTTAGCAGCCGGAAATGTCCTTGTTTTTCCCCTTCCGTCGGAACCGGGTCTCGCTGGGGTCAAAGCCTTGCTCCTTGCATCCAAACACTGCCCAGGCTGGGGTCTTGGACATGTAATCAGCTGCCGTGAATCGCCTCTCCCCGTCGCTGGCTTCGTACTCGGCGATGAGCTCATGGAACCTGGAGTAGTTGATCCATGTCCACCATTCGTCATCCTTCTTGAACTGATATAAAAGAACAGTGTGAGGATATTCAGGTATGAGTTGGGGAGCTTAGCCTTGATTGATTTACATTAGTAACTGCACATCTCGGAAAAGACTGGTAATGTCACAAGACCAGAATTGATTTATCAAATATAAAATATACTCTTCATTGAGTAACACTAACATTCAGATCACTGTGGTTTCATGGTATTTAACCCCTTTGCTATGGAGGACTGCCACTACCGCACCGTTGGTGAGGATTAGTGCATACCACACATACAGTCTATTCACCATGCAACTGCTGGTTCAATGGGGCCTGCTGCTGGACAAAGCCCTCCATTCAGGGCATACCACAGCCCAGCAGTCGCGGTCAAAATAATCCCGCCTTGAAGGGGTTAACACAATTTCCACATCAACTATATTCATCCACACCGCATTATATTCACAAGAGTTGCAGTATTCACCACTTTGTAGTTATCTGCCAAGTCATCATGGCCGAGACTTTCTTTGAATTCAACAATGGGAGTGTTTACAATCTGTCCGAATACTGAAAGCCAGTGAATGATTTCAAGGTCTTGGCCAAAGATAAACCTGAGCATTGAGAAAAAGCCAAGGTTTCCCGTCATGTGTCCCACCTTCTTGTGCGCAGCAAGTACACAGTTTGAGTGCTCATGCTCACTGGCGATGGCGTAGTCGGGCAGCAGGTCCACTAGCTTCTGGACAAAGCCCACGACCTCCTCGTGCCAGGGGATGTTCTTCATGGTCAGCGTGCTTGCCTTGGACTCGCCGCAGTAAGTCACCCCCTGGTCAAAGGTCACATGATCAAATACGTGTACATTGCCATCAGCTAAACAGTGACTATGTTTAATCTAACAGAAGCCTACTGAAATAGGGTCGTGCGTGTGCCTTGGTACAGTGGTATTTATGCCAACCAACGGCAGGTAAAACTATGGCTGGCCGTTAGGACAAAGATAAATGAAGAATTCACAAAGTGTAAAATAACCTCTCCCGGCTATCACAATACCAAATAATAAAAACTGTATTACTGGATACTGTATGTACTGTATACAACCTTCCATAAATGTACATTTTGAAGTAAAATCTAACATCAACCAAGAATGATATTTCTGCAAACTTTGGCCACCCATACAAATAGCTGTATGAAAGGGTTCTACAGAAAGAAATCTTTTGCATCCGTTGGTCTTCACAAATTTCACTGTACGTGTTCCCTTGTTCATGTCTCACCTTGACCTCAATGAAGTCCGGTTTGCCGATACTGACCAGGTTGGCATAGGCCTCTATCTCTTCGTTATTCCAACCGTTGACGATGGTCAACCGATACACTGTCCTCTGCCCCTGTCCACGACAAAAGTGAGACAAGTTTTTCAAACACATACAAATTGCTGCCATTTGCCTCGACCCCTCATCGGCAAAGAAGATGCAGATTTGTGGGGAACTGTTTCTTCTGAGTGCCTGGTGCACACACAGAGACCTTGCATTCCAACCATCGACATCAAAGCTATGATTTCAACATAAATCGGTCGTGCGCTCTCATCGCAACCCATGCCAAATGCACAGGAACTTGTGTGGGCACATGGCGAGATCGCACCAAAGGACCATCGTTCCTACACCGAGTGGATAATGCCATGCAAAAAGACTCTCTTTTGCCGAAGGGAACGAGTGAACTGATGTTGCTTTACCTTCTCTGAGAGAGCCTCCAGACTGCTGAGGAATCGGGGCCAAAAATCACGGAAGAGTGGTCTGTCAATCTTCTTCAAGCTCTCCTTGGTGCTGGCATCGACGCTCACGTAAAGCTGGGTCACTGGAACCATGCTCCTTTCATAACAATTAAATGAAGAAAAATTACTTTTGAAATTGACATTTATATCGTGCCTGTCCAGTACCATGAAATTTGCACTAATGTTTGCCAGAGTTGCACTCAAGACCTCTTCAAACCAACACAAGACCTCTAGTATGAATTAAGTCACCGGCTATTCGTGTGAATTGTGACAAAAGCAAGCCTTTGTCCCCATTACTTGTGTTTGGTCTTACTGGATGTTGCCAAGGTGACGGCAGCCAGCTATGCTGTGAATCACTCTTTACCTGATTGCATCCGGAAACTGGGCATTGGTGACAAGAAACGTGGAGATCTTGTGGCTGTGCAGCAGCTTGGCGAAGCGGTTAATCTCTGGGTACATGATGGGTTCGCCCACCAACGACAAGGCACAGTGTTGGACATTCATGGCTTCGGCCATGCGCTCTGGCTTCACCCCTGGTACACCTTCACAAAACAAAACATGTAAACCAATGCAACAAAAGCAGCCCACGCCTACTTCATGGTATACCTTTATTGCCTCCCATGGTAAGCAAACTGTCTATCACTTCAACTCGTCCCATATAAAATGCCAATTAATCTGCATTTGGAAGTATCTCCTACAAGATCATTTAGTATTCAAGAAAAGAAGAGTGCATTTCAGTGAAACAAGGCTTCCATTTTCTTAATAGGCAAGTCCCACAAAACTTTGATTTCTGAAAACCAAAATGGAAATTTAAGCATTAAGTACAGAGGAACAGCCCGCCCTGTGTCACTGCAAGAATATATACCATCAACTGCAATCTGATTAAAGACTTAGCAGCCATAGTCAAGCCTTGTGGTGCATCTGCTGCATTACCTTTGAACTGTTTGATGAGTTGGTAGTGGTTCTTCAGAGCATCCTTCAGAATGGCTTCGGGCTCGTCCATCTTCCATCGCCACTCTGTGCCAACCGGGTTGGTGTGGTGTCTGAAAGCATTCAGGAGAACAAGGGTACTAACTGGGTGCTGACTGAGCCAACTGTGTCGTTATCTGTCTCTGGCATTTCCAATTTCCAGGTTGTGTTATTAAAAATTGACGTCGGTGATGTCACTGTCAAAGTGATATCAATTTAAGGAATATCAATTTATCAAAAGAGCATGGCATCACCAGTATCTAAAATCAGAAAAGTACATCCCATCACAGCTGTTGGCCTTCCACTGCTCCAACACCAGCCGTAGACTTGGAGAACTCCTGGACTTTAACAAATCCCCAACTACAACTTTATCTTCCATAAACTGACTTCAAAATCAGCCTGGAATGATTGTTCACACAGAGAGCCCCCAGTCACCATTTACCTCCAGCAGAAGACACACTTGTTGGCACAGGCTAGGCTGGGCGTGGTCTCCATGCAGCGATGGCTCTCGATACCGTAGAACGTGTGCTTGTAGCAGCCTCCTCGACCACGCAGCATGCTCTGTGAGGTCAACCATGTAGTCTCAAACAAAGTTATCGATAAATGGCAACAGCACCCTCAGAGGGCTTTTATTTTAAAGAAATGCCAAGAGTAAGACAAAGTATTTCCAAGCAATTAAAGGTTTGTATTTATAATTATATCTAACCCCCCCCCATTGCTAACAAGTCTTCATTTTTCAAAGTTAATAAATTCTTCCACACCCTGAAGGGATAAGGTTTAAAGTGTCATTCTGTTTGCAAAATATGGAGCGTTATAAGAAACGCCAACCACGTAGTCACTATTTAAAAACTGACAAACTTTGCTGTCATTTTGCACATTTTGAATGACTGGCTGACTTTGAATGTACTGACCTTTGTCCATCTACACAACTTCACTCCTGAGTGACTGCCTATGAGCCTGTATCCTGCAGATGAAATTGGTGCATAACAAACTCATTATATTTAAGTGTATGAAGTTTGTTTTTTGCTTCTTTGGTGAATACACAGTACATGTACAAACCAAATGGAAAAGTTGTAATTCAGTAAGACCACAGGTCAGATCACCGGTGACCCCACAATGGGATTATGCTGAAAAATGAAAGAATGTCTTTGTCAGAGTTTATGATCTGTATTGCTTGTGACTTCCCCAGAGACTAGCTGCCCTCTAGAAATGCAGCATGATAACCTCATAATTTTGAGTGTTAATAATAATAAACTTCTCTGTGCCAACAAATTGCACTGGACAGAGCACTCAAGCAAAGAATATGCAGTTCACATGCATAAACAAGTCAGTGGAATGCAGATTCATGTTGGATATCTATATTGTCCCATGCTGAAAGCTGTAAATGACCATGGCCAAACACAGGAACTAGCCTTGTTTCGATAGAGCCTGCCTCAGCATTGGCGTGATCATCTCTCTGGGTTCCGAGGCTTTGTCTGAAGCCTTGGACTCCTGGGAGAAAAAAGAGACAAAGAAATAGAGGGATGGAAAATTACAAGTTTTCATTTTTAAAGCAACAGAAAAAGCAGAAATTTGTGGGGGGCACATGCCCCCCCCGGCAGGCCCACCAAACCGCCCACACGGCTAAGCCACTGGTTGGCAATGACATTCAAAGCTGACAGCACTGAAATGAAAATTTTAATTTGATTCTTTTTGGGGGGTGAAATGCTGTCATGGGGGACACTATTCTCAAAACGTTGTAAAATTGAGACAATTCTAAAAAAAAATTGCTTTTGACCTTTGCCTGCGGAACCTTTAAACATCTTCTGACCTTTGCCTTCTTCATTTTCTTCATGACCTTCCCAAGATCTTCCAAGTCAGTCAGCCCATTTGTCTGTGTGATTTTGCTCTTTGCGTCCCCACTTCCATCATCAATGAAGTCATCATCACAGTTGTCATCCTCACTGGAGCTGTCATACATTTCCTGAAACAAACAAACAAGGTCAAGTCAGGGGTCAAATAGGCATTACAAACACCAGAGAAATGATTTTTATCATTCATTTTATTACAGTGAATGATTTATTCCCAGATTTTAATACAAGATCTTCAAAGAGCACTAAGCCTGTATGTCGACCAAAACACTATTCTTTGTTTTCAAATATTTTCTATCTGTGAAAACAACATGTTTCTAAAACTCTTCTACCTCCTTGTCAGCGTTCCTGCTTTCCTTTTCTGTTGCCTGGCGACAACCTCCTTCTGTTTTTCCACACTCGCAGGTCTGCTTTTCTGTGGAGCAACAAATACTTGCATTGCTGGCCAAAGTTTGGAGAAGCAGTGTCTTCCAGGCTTCGAAATCTGCCTCTATGCCTGCAAAAAAGGTTGCAAATTGAGTACTGAAAAATACATGAAATTGGCATTTAACTACCACCGATTTCACATTTTGTGGATGAAGAGGAATTAGCAGATAGGAGCTGATGACATCCACATTCATGATAAGTGGATATAGCAGACTATTTGAAAGTGAGATGGTTACCTCCGTGTTTGCTTTCAGCCACGTTCTGGTCTCCCTCTCCTCGTGCAACAATGGCAGATGCACTCAGGGTGCTCAACCATCGGTCCACATCCCTTGCAACCTGTAACATGCAATAGCACCTCAGTTACAAGACTATGCAAGAGGGCGCACTTTGCCTCTTCCAATCGCAAGCAGGATAACTGACTGACCATCTCGCCGCAATACCTGTGATGATACTTGGATAAATTCACATCTTTGAATTTGGGACTTAGCTTTCTGCTTCACTATTTACACTCACGCACAAACCACTTTAGGGTGGTAAATTGTAACTCGCAAGTGGCCCTGACAATTATTTTGCAGATTACAAAATATGAAGCCTTTGCACTGGTGGTTATGAGGACGGCTTTTGCTTTAAATTCTATAAAACGAGAGTTATAAATTCTATGAAAGCCTATCGTAGAGGAGGAAAGGCTTGACTTCAAGTATGACATTAAGTGCAAGAGTGTTACTGTCGGGTTTTATGGTCAATTCAGTGGAATCATACCTTTGGTGACTTCTAACTCAAAATCATGAAGTAGAAACACAAATTTTTCCCACAGGAAAATAAATTGAATAAATGAGCCACCTGATTGTAATGGCCTTCGTAGAGTGAATTGCCCAGCCCAAACACGGCATACTTCAGCCCTCGGAGGAGTGACTTGTGAACCCTGAAGTCAGTGGTGGCCTCTTCCAGCCAACGGCAGAACCAGGCTGCACTCTCTGTGGGCTTGCCCTCTGAGTACGTAGCCACGATGAGAACACAGGTCACTAGTCCGTCCGTCTGAACAGAAAAGGAAGAAGACTAGAGTGTATTAACTGCAACAGTTCTGAATCCACTGATTGGTAAATGATTTAGGGTTGTTAGGGTTAGCATTGTACTACTAACCCTAACCTTCCCAAGTCCTTCAAAATCCATCAGGAGATTTTGAAAGATATTGGAGGATTTAGAAGGGCACATCTGAGCCACTGTGTTAACTCACAAAGTAGAGACACAATGCTTCTTGATAGTTTCTCTCACAGGCTACGTCCTACTGAGTTCTTGTACAGCATAACATTTCAGCAATTAAGGAAAAGTTCCTTGCCAAAAACCCTCAAGGTTACATTGGACCAATAATAAAGGGGCCCTCAACATGAACAAATTTCAAATTAATATCAATGGTATCCCCACTGTCAGAAATGACATTTACATATCACAATAACTAAATATGCATGTACGTCTGAAACTATAATAATAATTATATCACTGCATTTATACGGTGTATTAAACATGATCTGTCATTTAACCCCTTCACGGCGGGATTATTTTGACCGCGACTGCTGGGCTGTGGTATGCCCTGAATGGAGGGCTTCGTCCAGCAGCAGGCCCCATTGAACCAGCAGCTGCATAGTGAATAGACTGTATGTGTGGTATGCACTTATCCTCACAGTGGTGCGGTAGTAGCAGTCCTCCATAGCAAAGGGGTAAAAGGACAAATATACATGCATTATCATTAGCCCTGCTCACTGGGCTAACATCTGAACATTCCTGAGACCATTTCAGCTCCCTGGGGAGTATACTAGCCCGATACCGCCATTACAAGAGCAAACTGCTAAACAAAGTTCACCTCTGGGAGAATATGACTTTCTGGGTCAAAGGTCTTGAGGTCGACAACCTCAGCAGCATTACCAGTTGAGGCCACTTGCTTGGCCAGGTCTTCAGCGAAATGCTAAAACATGAACATAAAGATTTAAATCACTTGTAGATTTGGACAAAACTAACAGCTGACTGTGTACGATGACTGATGCTCAATGTTTTACATGTTGCTCTACAAATGCAGAGATGTACAGGTAAAATAAAAAACAAATCACAGTGATTAGCAAGATTCACTGTTGTTTTTTACGAAAAATCTGTTCAATGTACAACAGGACAATATGTCAGACAGGCATCCAAGGAACGAAACTTGCCGAACAGACAAAAAAAGAAACTTTCTTTCCTATTTATATTCACGTATCTCATTTCTCCTTTGAGCATTTATATAAGGCTTTATATAATGTTGTAATCTTGGAAACGCACTTAAAAACAGGACAGCACCAAAAAAAGGGAAGCGAGAAGCTGAAAAACCTTGGCAGTTCCTGTTTGTGTGCCGTACAAAATCCTCAGCCTGTGCTTTGGGGAGGAAGTCAATCCCTGGTGTCTGCCAGTCACGTCTCCGTTCTGATTGGCTGCAGCAGCACCTGTCGCCACTGGTTTCTTTCTGGACTGGCTGATGCCACCCATAGCTGGTCTTGGTGACTGGTGCCTGCCCTCAGCTGGCCTCCTTGCTGGCGCAGCGTCTGGCATGTGCACATGCACATTTTGGTCTTCCTGTTTAGTAAGGGAAAATGCAAAGATTTCACTGTGTGGCCAAGTATTTTAGATACATGTACATGTAGATGCCTATTCATGTAGATGACCAGAGTGACGGGAAGACAAGGACGTCTAAAAACACTGCCTGAAAAGGGTCTGCACAAAGGAAGCTGGGAAATTCCTTGTAAAAGTGAACATTTTATACACATAAAAGGTAATGTAACCACCTGCTCCTTGCACTTTCAGTTTTTGAAAACCTCTTTCACTTCATGAATTCCACATGATAATGAGGTTGGTAACAGCATGACCAATTTACACTAATGTGGAACTGTGTAACTGCTATCAAAGTGTGGATTGAGTTTCAACTGATAAATATGATACATGTGCATAAGATTTCCATCATTCATTCAAGCTCTTAGTAACTTACAAAGCAACATGCAATGTACATGTAAGTGCTGTGTACTTTGATTACACCCTCCTCCCTTAATGGAGTTTGCCAATAAGCTGTACGGTATACTAACCCTGAAGTCTTAGATTTTTCTACTTGGCAATGGAACAAATCCTATCAAAATCCCACATTCCCTGAGTAATCTACATTGTTTGCTGCTAAGTCCACCACTGATGTGATGGTCTTTGTTGATGGACCTGTGACACATGGCTGTGACAATGAATCCCTGAGCAGTGCTTCAGGCCTCCAAGACCAAGTCCATCATACTCCATCAACATTTGGTCACCTCAAGCACAATGTAGTTTTACATACTCCCTACTCTAACCCTAACACTCCTCAATCCTCCAACAAGTGAAGGATTGAGGAGGGTTTGGGTTAATGATTCTTAGACAACAAGACTTTGAAGAGACTTATAAGAATGCAGCGAAGTAAAGCCCGACTACATTTACTGCGTGGTGGAGGGCTGTGGAAGACTCAAGATACATGTAGTTCCTGGCAAGAAAAAGTTTCCATGCTCGCAAATAAAGAAAAACACACTAAAAATTCCTGCATTTAATTTCACACGCTCAGCTAATCTTATCCACAGTACATGTATGTGATCAATGCAGTACACAATAGTTTTGACAGTTAAGAGTACAAATAGACCAAACTTACATTTTCGTTTCTGTTCCACCAAATGATCACCAGAAGTAGCGTGGCAACCCCTGTCACAAATGTCACACCATACCAGCAAGGGGCTGACGTCCACAGCTTTGTGACCAGTTTGCTACCCCAGGAAATTTGTGAGGAAGACAAGGTGTCATCTGGGAGTTGAGATGGCAACATGACAGTGCTCTTAATAATTGAGAACCTGAATTATACTGACATCTTTCTAAAGACCACAGAACAAATGGTCAACATTGTAATATGATATGCTTTGAACCTTTGGGACTCTCCATTTCCAAACCTACTGCAAAATGTACATGTACAAGTCTGGATAAAAGGAAAAGTCTAAAATAAACGCGGTCAAATAAAAGTTTCAAGCGCTGCCTCAAATCCATGTTGAGTGTACAAGAAGCCAGACAGGTGCAAAATACATGTACAGATGTCTGTTTCTCTCAATCTTGGAACTCCTTACAGTGTGTGAATCAGCTCCAGTGCTGGAACTTTCTTCTTGAAGGAGCAAGGCATGTTTTCCTTCACAAAGGGCACTTTGTATAAGAAAAGTTCCTGCCGGCAGCTCAGACCAAAAAATAATCTTGGCTGTCTTTTCTTACACTTTACTTGTTTCTTATCACATCGTCAGGGAAGTAGAAAGATATCTTTGAAAAATTCTGGCTGCTTTTGGCAGCTTTATCACCAGCCTTCCACAAGTGCATCCCACTCTCATAGGGTAGGTCGCAAGTTAAATGTCTATCTACACACAAGGGGCAAGCTAATATCCAATAATTACAAAGTTTTAAGTCACTTCACCCATTTACCTCTTCCCCCACAAGCACTGCGCCCATTTACACAATGTACCAGTCCAATGACGTACAATGCATGCATCACCTCATTGGCAACCTTGACTCCATGGGTCGAGTGCGCATTCCTTATGGGGAAGCAACACTGCGTGGCAAGATTGTACCAGAGGAAATGAGGTTGCATTATTGGACTGGTCGCCATCCCTATTTGTATGTTCGGAGGGCAGGGATAGGAACCAGTCTTCTATTCAATGGGGACATGCATGCTTATGCATGCATCGCAGGCAGTGTGCAGTGAAATGTGCGAATCACTTTCAAAGAGAGGCAATAAGATCATGAGTAAAAGGTCTGAAGTTTTACAAAATAGCACACAGGCCTTGATGATGGTCCAAAAACCATCGCGGCTAGGCCTACATATGTACATATGTACGTACACTGATACTGAGATATTTGTAAGTGTGGACTGCTTTTCGGGGGAAGATCTGATTTAAAACATGCAGTTTTGGACAGGTAAACGGGCACATTCAGAATCCCATACTAGCGTTACAAAGCAATGAAAAGTTGCATTTACATGTACGTTAATAGCATGGTTAGCACTGCCACTGGCCACTACCAGCCATGCTAGTTTAATAGTAAGGTGGTTGAAATAAAATCTCTTCATAGGACCTGATCATGAGATAACCTGGTTACATCATTTAAACAAAATGATCAAAGCTGCGAGTGGATGATTTTTCTTTACCTTCGGATCGATTTTCATCTGCGAACACGTTATTACGTCCACAAAAAAGTAAAAATATCGTGCAGAAAACGACGCAATTACAATTGCTTATGGAGGCTGCCATTTTTATAGAGCATCATGGGATAAAAAAGTCACTTATTTTTAAAACTAAATTTTTACGCAGAATTTTGCCACAGCTTAGCAAAATTTAGGCATATTTTATAAAATTTTGTATTATATCTTGTATAATCTGTTACTAATTGAAAGCATAATATTTTAATAATTTTTTTTTTACATAAACGAAAGTAAACCTCGTTATGTTTGTAAGAATGCTATCATCGGCAAGGTTTTTTGTACATGTGGCCAACCAGAATTGAACACATGCAAACCCTTTGCCGTAAGAACGCGCACGCATACTACCGCCGTACCGGTACGGAAAAGCTCTGGCACTTCAGCAGTGTCGGATCTTGCTCGAAAAATGACGTCGAAAAGACTATTTCCCAGACACTTCCGCACCTGTCACATCAGCAAGATGTTCACGACGCACTTAGCCGTCCTCATGGCTTGCTTTGTGTGTTGCATCTCCCTGCACCAAATCGCGGCCGGCGAAGTGGTCTACGCGGTCAACTGCGGCGGCCCAGCTCACCGCGACGTGCACGGCGTGGAATACGACGCCGACCCGCTTGAGATCGGAGTCGCCTCGGACTTTGGCAAGAACCTGGCCGTGATCAACCGGGTCCCTCCTCAGGACGCTATCCTGTACCAAACGGAGCGATATGACTTCAACACCTTCGGCTACACCACAACTATTGAAGAGGATGGCGATTATGTATTGGTGCTCAAATTCTGTGAAGTGTGGTTTGCAGCCTCTCGACAGAAGGTGAGATGAATGTGGGAAGGAAAAGAGTGAACCTTCCAATTCATTAATAAGACTTGTGAAATTTATTTTTTTTAATTTTCACATAACTGCCCCACTGGATTTTTACATCCGACAGAACATTTTGACAGGCCTGTATAAAATATATAGAACTGTAGCGGGGTCCGACGTCCACCCCGCTCCCACAAACATTCCCCCTTCGTCATGTTCGTGGGAGTGGGGCGGTCGTCGCACCCCAAAGTTGTGGGGGTAAGGCCTGTATGAAATAAACCTTTTCGACATTAGCAATGCATTGTGGGTTTGGATGACAAACATGCAATGCATTTTATGCACAACTCTAAGGAAGAAGTGTACCTGAAAACGTCAATCTGTTTCCGTTTTATGTCGTACTCCAATTCAAGCCACCCCCTTCTGACAAAGCGTTGGATTATTGATTTGGGACAGAGATATTCACAAACTTCAAAGTTTACAGCTTGGCAGTGAAGGAAAATTTGGAGAATCCCTTCCAACAACACCACTTTTTGTCACGGACCGTGCTTTTACTACTTCGTGAATATTAATGTTCAAGTGTTGTCCAGTCAAAATGACGACTTGCAGCTCATTCATCCCGCTTTGACCAGCCACATTCATTTACAGCCTGTAGCGTGACTGGTGCCCTTAAAAAGGGCAATTAGGGTTGATTTGTTCTTACAAACATTTGGAAACATATTTGAAAATGTTTCTTGTATATTCTGATAGATATATATATAATACGCATGCATCTGAGTTGATGAGCAGATACATAAAAAATATTTAGTAGAAAACTGTAAATTGATTTTTGACTGGTTTACTTCCCCCATAGGGTTGTCCATAAAATGCATTGCTTGTTTGTCATCCATATCCATAATGCATTGCGAACGTTGAAAAAGTTTATTAAAAAAAGGTTTCCATACGTACACATGCGCACGGACATCACTTGACATGCTTGACACCCCCTATAAAATGCCTTTTAGACTGGCTTGAAAGAGGGTTCCTGAGTAAATGCTTCAGTATTTTCCCAACGAAGTGCAAAATTTGACTCTTTAAGCCGTAGTGTCAGTTTCTGATGGCTCGTAGTAGTATACATTTATGATGAAGTACCATTGCAACCAAGGGAAGATTCTTAATGTAGGCATGCCTTTGAAGTTCATGTTCTGAGAGTTTTCTTCTTTTTTTTTCAAAGTTCTCATGAAATCCACAATCCCTTTGCCTTGCATGTGGTCGGATTGATTTTTATGTAGGCCTATACAGTACATGTACTGTATGATAATACATGTACATGTACCTAATCACGAAGGTACATGTAACTTGAGTCTAATGTCCATAGTTGAGCAACATTGCCACATCAATACCAACACATCAATCTGTCATTGGTCATGTTGATGACAGTGATGCTGACTAAAAATCAACAATGTTTCAGTATTGGCATCATACCTGTAATTCATGCATTGTTCATGCTTGGCATGTACAAATAAAGGTCATAATACAGCTCAGCCTGAGCCAAATTTTAATGAAAACGGTGATGTAGTCAAAACTCTACCATATCCTATAACTCTGGTTTAGTCGTCTGCAGCACAGTGGACAATGAACCCTGGACTTCCAGGGGTACATGTACGTGAACCTCTACCGTTCATTACTTCCATTGTTGTAAAATGTCTCTTCACCACCTGAATTAAGATTAATGGAAACAAATATCTAAAAAATATCTAAAAAAAGAAAAAGATAAGTGAGCATGGGTCTGACATTGCCAGAAGATAACAATCATTGTTGTGGATTCACCAATCCAATTGATGTTTTGTGCATGTACGGAAATGTACGCAGAGAGTGGGACTGAGGCATTTTACCAGCCACCTGTGCCATATTTTATGGAATCTTTTTGTCAACAGTTCACACAAAGGAAAATAAGCTTACAGTACAGTGTATTTTTACATGTACATGTCAACTGTATACTTGGAGCTTTTCTTTGTTGTGGATTGGAAATAAACACTGGCCCAGATTGGTTCTCTGTCTTCAGGTCTTGGGATCTTATTAATCTATATTGTTACATATAATTCAACTTGAGTTAGTTTATGAAATATTCTGGAACTTTCACTTTCTGATTTATAAATAAAGAGATGAACTGACTGTAAGATCCAAATATAAAAGTCGGTGTCTTAGAACTGCCTTACCGTGTACATGACACATAAAGGTACATGTACATGCATTAATGTACCGTAAAAACATCAAAAAAATACCTTCAAAGTAAAAAAAAAAATGGGACCTGGGAAAATACTGGTGTGCCAGTAAAGAGTCAACATCTGTGTACATCCACATGCAGTGATGAAAAATTGAAAACTTAAATGTTTTTAATCATGTTAATAAGCCAAACCTACAGAATTGAGAGGTGACATTTTGTAAGACACAATTAACAGAATTCAGCTTTACTTTTCATTTCACATGTACATGTATCTCAATTGTAACTTACATCCAGACAGTAATTTTTTGTTTGTTTTGTAAAGGTACATGTACCTGGTGCAAAAATGAACTTCCCTGAAGCAAACCTAAATACATGTATTATATCACTAACTGCTTGTGGTACTTGTTGCTACATTGGATCTGAGCCAGTCACCCAAGCCCAGTCAACCTGGTGGTTGAGTGGTTACAATATCTGCACTAGCAATTTAAGCAGAAAGTCATGAGTTTGTATCCCACCCAAGCAAGCTCGTGATTTTTTTGTTTTTTGCAGCTCTCAGATCTCACCGAAAATACAGTGTGGTTAATACATTGTATGTTGGTGTAAAGGTAAAACCAGGAGTAAAATTAACCCTAACCCTCAGGGTACATGTACTCTGGCTTGAAACCCTGCCAGACTCATCAGTCTGCATCATATGTCAAACTGGTTTATCTGCCCAGTGTAACAAGATTCAACATGTTCAACAGGTTAACTCTCCCAAGGCCAAACAGCCTGGGACTGAGTCTGCAGTTGCCAGGCACCACAAGATCCAACAGTTGCGCTACTCAATGGCACTAGCACCCATTGTCTCTGCTGTTGATTGCCCAGTGCATCAAAGTGCATCAGACTCTTTCACCTGATGCACTGTGCTGTGTCTGGCAGGGTTGGGGTTAACATATCTGTGACACAAAGCTTAATTAGTTAATATCATTGACATCTTTTTTACTTTATCAACCCCAATTTTCCCATTTCAGGTTTTTGATGTTGTCTTGAACGACCTACACACAGTTGTATCTGGCCTGGATATTTATGACACTGCAGGTAGAGGTACAGCACATGATGAGATCATTCCATTCACAATTACCAAGGGCAAACTTAAGGTGCAGAAAGAAGCCTCCACGTTCCATGGAGACCTCCACATAGAGTTTGTCAAGGTAAGTGTATCGTTATTCCACCTACAGTTGGGCTGATGGCGCACTGAAGTTGTGATTGTCTAACTGCAATAAGCCTTGTGCCAGTTAAATCTGTATGAAGTCTTTTACACTGGGTTATCTGATTGCGCATAAACAATTTTAATTCCCCAGAACTAAAGACACTGTTGCTGTAGGTGTACCTCATGATTTGGGGCAAGCTGCTGCATCGCCACTATCATCTCTGGAATGGACTGGTTCCTGTGTGCCCTTCTTATGCATTGAAAACAGTATATTGGTGCAAGGTGTCTCTTATGTAATTAAGCAAAAGCTTGCTCCTAATCGTGAGGTACATGTACATGTACGAGTTTAGCAATAGTGTCTTCAGTATGGAGATTCAAATTGTTATGTTCAAGTGAATTTAAAGAACTCGGTGTACCAGATTTTATTCAAAGTTAACTCGCAAAAGGCTTATTGGGCTCATTTCGTGTGAGTGGTACGGTAGTTGCCACCTCTTCTATGGGTGGGTTTGCAATGGTTTCATGATAGTATCTTAATGTCATTCTCAATGGTGATGAACATGTTCAAGAAATGTAAGATTCTCAGTGCTGTTTGCCCAGGATTAAGGGTCCCAAAGGTTCAGTTTTTTCTCCCACCTCTGTGCAGTCAACATAAAACTCACGGTCAACTGAAATCTCTACAAACTTAGCTCTTCAGCCTTTCCCATGTGAAACGTTCTGTTCGTCATGAAGCATCAAACGGAGTGCACGTGCCAAGTGCGCTAGTGCATTGAAGCATGAAAGCATATGCAACTAATTGCATTGAATTTGCTACACAATAGGACTGTGAGGATTTTAAGGTACATTGAGGTAGTGACTCTGTAGAGAATTACTTGTGTTGATATTCACTTTTTTCTCTCTTTTTGGTGAGCTGC